CTATTCTTCAATACCCTGATTTTTCTAAGCCCTTCATATTAACCACTGACGCCTCTAATTTCGCTGTTTCTGCAATCTTATCTCAAGGTAAAGTCGGTCAGGACCTACCGGTCGCGTACGCCTCCAGAACTCTTAACAAAGCCGAAGGTAATTATTCGACTACGGAAAAGGAATGCCTAGCCATCCTTTTCGGCACTAAAGTTTTTAGACCATATTTATATGGCCACAAATTCACCGTAGTCTCAGACCACAAACCACTACAATGGTTATTCAATTGCAAAGATCCTAGTTCGAAATTAGTCCGCTGGCGTTTAAAACTAGAAGAGTTCGATTATGAAATATTATATAAAAAGGGTAAAATGAATTGCAACGCCGACTCCTTGTCCCGTAATCCGGTACTTGCCGTTGATCCCGACACTCCATCCTCCTCTGAAACTTATGAAAAATATCTACAACTTAGCCAACAAAATAATAATACCTATGATACTGTTATAAAAGAATACAATGGCTCTTTATTTAAATCAAAATGCAAATTGATGGTGTATCCATCTGCCATTGACCTAGATGACTCTATCCCATACTGTTCCGAAATCTTACAGATGTCTAAATTCGACGAAAACTTACCCGACATACGAAACTTAGAGCGAGAGCTATGTACTTTCCAAAGCACTTCTAACGAAAAACACGTATTTACACACCTCTTCCTACGCGTTCATCATTACGACGAAATGACTTACAAAGACATTTTTAACATGTTGAGAGACTACCGCGACATGATTACTACATGCTATTTAGAAGAAAAGGAGTTTGCCATATCCGATTTCCAAGACCCATTCACAAAGATATCGTTTACAAAAATATATAATATTCTAGGATTCCTATTTCATAAAACAGGTGTCACAGTCCACATTTATCATAACAACATTCTATTCCCTACTCCTGTCGAAATTCCTCGTATACTGAAAGAAAATCATGACTCTCCCTCGGCAGGCCACCCTGGTATTTCTCGCATGTATGATAGACTAAAAACCATGTATTGGTGGAAAAACATGCGCCGAGACATAGAAAACTACGTCAAAAGCTGTAAATCTTGTCAAGTAAATAAACCGCTGCGCCAAACAAATCGTGCTCCTATGATAATTACATCCACAGCTACCAAACCCATGGAAAAGGTTTTATTGATGTTGTAGGACCGTTACCCGAAACCCAAGATTACCATTATAAGTTTATCCTTACATTACAAGATGACCTAACAAAATATTCACAGGCATACGCAATGAAAACTTGTTCCGCGGAAGAAACTGCACATAAACTAGTTCTATTCATTTCTCACTTAGGTATACCCAGAATGGTTGTTACCGACCAAGGTACTAATTTCACGTCAGACGTTTTAAAACAATTAGAAAGATTATTCGGTATTAAACATATCTTTGCCTCTCCCTATCATCCTCAGACGTGTGGGGCTCTCGAAAGAAGTCACGCAACGTTAAAAGAGTACTTACGGTCATACGTTATAGATAACCAACATACCTGGAGCTTATACCTCAAAACCGCTATGTTAGCATACAATACTAATGTGCACTCCACTACTGGATTTCAACCGATGGAATTACTATTCGGTTTTAAACCGTATATGCCCCAAAGCACGGATACCCTAGATTTAAACACCTATACAGACTATATACGTGCTCTTAATCACAGATTGTATTACAGCCGTCAAAAGGCTTTACAAAATATACGATCGTCCAAAGAAAAGTCCAAACAACATTTTGATATACATGCCAAACCGATAACTTATAACATTGGTGATATGGTTTACTTGCGGTGCCATCATAAACAAAATAAGGCAATGTCCCCTATATGGAAAGGTCCATATAAAATCGTAAAAATCAATGGCAATCACACAGTAACGCTTTTAATTAACAGAAAACATATTCGTCATCATTATGATGAAATTAAAATCGCTATAGATGACTAGCCCAATCTTCTCTTTTCCAGGATCATATTTCAACCGTCTTCAGGCCATAAGTTCATCACACCGATCGTAGGCAGTCCTGGATTATACTTTGACCAACTACCAAACGTCAAGTTCACCAATGACCGCTGGAACGTAGTCACATACTTAGATATAAGTCATATAAAACCACACTTGGATAAAGTCGAAGACTTGATTCAAGAAATTTCTAAATTCTGCGACTCTAATTCTTCCAGTAAAGTTAAATCAGAGTGCTTTAATTCACTAACGCCTTTACAAAACCAACATCTTAACAATGTTCGCAAGTTTTCATCGATATCATACCTTGTTGGAGATCAAAAACCTAATCGTTTGAAACGTGGACTCATAGACGCAGGCGGTTCAATTCTTAAATCAATCTTTGGGACTTTGGACTCCGAAGATGCCCTAAAATTCTCAGATGCGATTACTAAAGTCCAATCTGATGAAAAGCAATTGGCAAACTTAATGAGAAATAACATCCACGTTGTTCGATCTACTATCTTAAACTTCAATAACACAATGTCAAAAGTAAATAAAAATCAAAATCAATTAAATCAAAATTTGGAAACTATCCGGAAGACATTAGAACAATTTTCAAATTCCAGTGATAAATTAGAAATCAAAACTCAATTAACGATGTTATTAAATGACTTAGAAAGCATAACGATTGCCTTGTCCTTTGACATCGACGATATAAACAATGCTATCCTATTCAGCAAACTCAACATTCTTCATCCGACCGTACTTAGTCCCTATCAGCTGTTCCATGAACTTGACCTACATAAAGACAAGCTACCTAAGCACTGCGAACTCCCTGTAACTCTATCCTTAGAAAATATACATATAATTATAGACATATCTAACTTAGTCTCTTATTACCATCTTAACAAGGTCATTATTGTCACTCGAATTCCGCTGGTCTTACCTCAGATGTATAATCTATACCACACTGTTCCACTTCCAATTCCTTACGATATTACAAAACCAGACACTTATGTACTCGTCGCACCTAGTAAACCTTATGTGGCTATAACAACAGATCGTATGTTCTATTCACTATTAGAGTCAGTGGATAAGTGTCAAGTGATACAAAATGAGTGTTATGTGTGTTCTTTAGGGAATGTGTATTCTACTATCGCGAACCCAACTTGTGAAACAAAGTTATTAACCGAAGCTATAAGCTCCCTACCAAATTCATGTAACACTAAGTTAATATATGGTTTAATCGATGTATTCTTTAAGTTAAACAATAATAATTGGTTATTTGTACAATCAGAACCTGGGAAAGTTCATGTTACCTGTGAAAATGATCCTAGTAGTTATGACAAAATCCTTTTCGGTACAGGCATGTTAACCCTACCGAAATATTGTACAGCTTACTTTAAAACTTTGAAATTTACGCCTAATGACTTCATTACATCTAATGTTACTAATCAGATATCTAATTTCAATATATTAGAAGATGATTGTTGTGATAAGCAAAAGATAAACAAGACAACGCAGCATCTCTTTTGTTAAATTATCAAACGTGAACGATTTCGATTCCTTATTAGAAGCGAGTGTGCATTTGAACGAGTTTGAAAAGGAACTCAATAAAATTGAACAACCATCTCACTTAGAAAGATATTCCACCCATTACCTGTCTCTAACATACGTTGTTTCCATCTTTGTTCTTGTTTATCTCTTGTATAGGTTTAGGAAACTGATATGCATGACTCAATACTGTATCCAATTTTTTAATCAGTGTAATACTAAAGGACAACAAATAGTACAATCTGTCCAGCCTGTTAAACCAACAAATGATTGTTCTGGTGAATCTTCAGATGAAGATATTCAAGGATCAAGTAAGTCCTTGCCTACTCCTATAAGGCGTAATATTATAATGTAATTTTTTATTAATGACCTAAGTATTCTAATCCCATTCAACGTCTCGATTATGTTATTATGTCAAAACTTTTCTTATATTTTCAGTTAGGCGTAAGCCTCAATAATCTTAATTAATAATCATAATTATTAAGTATTGTCTATTCTATTTCTTATAGTTGTTAAGTTAATTTTGTAACCAAAACGAAGTCCAAAGTAGCATTTCCTTAGATTTCTCATCTCTCTTATCCGCGATGATCAATCTTATCGGGGGGGTTGTTATAAGTTATTATAGCCCCGACATTTAAAATAAAACCGCTGACACCGCATCCCCGTTGCTCACGTTGATGCGCCACGTTTACCTAACATTACACGTTTCATTTCCTTTATTAGAATGACACACTTACTTTGGACCTCGTGGCGGACACACTAAGGGTTTTGTAATTTTACTATTTTCTTATTATATTTCTGGACATTCTAAAAGTGTTTTTTTTAAGTGAGTAAGACTTTACCCGATAACAGTCCCCTTCCCTAAAGTACATGAGATGGCCAGAGTTCAAGGTCACTGTGTCCTCCCCCTGTCTTCGGACTTCAGACAGCCCCTGTATATGCCACCTCATGTTCCCCAGTTCCACCTCGAGCTGAGCCAGGTGTTCGTTGTACATAGCCAGGGTCAGTTGGTGTTGTCGGCCTATCGTAGCCCGGGGATTCTTAGCACCCCCTGTCCCGCCGTTACCATGGCCGCCGACTTGGCCAGGAATAGCGGGGCGACGGGGAACTAGGGGCCGTTTTTTGGAGTGTCGTGCCATGTAAGGTAATGCCCATAATCACCACGCTGGGCAGGCGGGTTGGTGATCGCAGGGCGTAGCTCCTCGCACTAGTGACGCTGCTCCTCGTCACTAATCTGAAATTTTGCTACGCCTACTTAGCATGGTTATTCCGCCATGTGTCGGTCGCCAGAGCCTCGTCCGTTAGTCAGCAGGATGTACCACGAGCAGGTGAGGTTGGCGGGGCACTGAGACGGTGTTGTGCCCCTTACATCCCAATTATCCTATTAACAATAAATAAAATGTATAAAAATTGTAAATGACTGTCCTCTTAGCCTTATGTCTCCTCTAACAAGTGCCTCCCCCCTGTCCAGGCCCGGCGCGGCCAGCTGTACGTCCAGAGCCAAGTGTGTCGCGCGCACGTCGACCGACTGTTCAGCGTGCGCGTGCACTCGCCCGACCTGCGCGACATCTTCCCGCGCATCGAGCGCGCGAGACTCAAGCGGACCTCCTCCGCCGTCTGGCACACGCCGCCCGCGCGCCTGCCCGCGCTCGCCGAGTGAGCGACTACTGGTAACTATATCTACATTACATCGCGCGACATCTTCCCGCGCATCGAGCGCGCGAGACTCAAGCGGACCTCCTCCGCCGTCTGGCACACGCCGCCCGCGCGCCTGCCCGCGCTCGCCGAGTGAGCGACTACTGGTAACTATATCTACATTACATCGCGCGACATCTTCCCGCGCATCGAGCGCGCGAGACTCAAGCGGACCTCCTCCGCCGTCTGGCACACGCCGCCCGCGCGCCTGCCCGCGCTCGCCGAGTGAGCGACTACTGGTAACTATATCTACATTACATCGCGCGACATCTTCCCGCGCATCGAGCGCGCGAGACTCAAGCGGACCTCCTCCGCCGTCTGGCACACGCCGCCCGCGCGCCTGCCCGCGCTCGCCGAGTGAGCGACTACTGGTAACTATATCTACATTACATCGCGCGACATCTTCCCGCGCATCGAGAAATACATAGCCCTCAACCAACGACAAATTGAGTTCAGAACTTGTTTAATGATAATGCCACTTTATATGGCAGAGGTATGGAAACTTATTTCGTCTCAGCCCACTTTAAAAATCAATTATTTTGTAACGCCCCCCATTTATTATCCGTGTAGCGAGATTATGAGTAGTTACTGAAATCTGTTATTTTCCGAAAAAAGTTGTGACAAAAGGTGTGAATTTGTCTTCTATTCCTTGTCCGTATTCAGTCACATTTTACACAACAACAACTAACCAATCCTATATCTACTTGCAGATGAAAGTGATGTGTTCAACTAGTACCCGTCGCGGGCGGCGCTGCGGTCTGTACATAGCTTACAAATGATACATAACACAGAGCGTGTATGCTCAATACTTATATATTGAGACGGACTGTTGTATCTACAACATGGTTTTACTTGATAGCTGTGTCTTATACACTGTTTCTGTGGGTTTAAGCTGTATTTAATAAAATGGTGGTTGAGAACAATAGTCATTGCAATAAAGGTAAACTTTTGCATTAGCTTAGCAAGCAGCCTTCAAATGATATTTATATGGAACTAGCTTCTGCCCGCGACTTCGTACGCGCAATCCCATTCCCCCTCCCCCCGTTCCCGTTCGTGATTTTCGGTAAAAGTACAAAAAAAAATTAGATAAAAAGTATCCTATGTCCGTCTCCTGGTTCTAAGCTACCTCCCTGCCAATTTTCATCCAAATCGATTTAGTTGTTCTTGAGTTATAAATAGTGTAACTAACACGACTTTCTTTTATATATATAGATAAATAGACAGTTAATTGTGAAATCTCCTTTTAGTAAGTTAATGCATGTTTGCCTTGTTATAACTTTATTTTTATGCCATAAGCCGGTAAACAAGAACACCAGAGGCGTTACAAGTGCGTTACCGGCTTCCTGGGGATTAGGAGCATGAGGATCGTCGGGGATTCAGGGATTGGGGAGATTGAGGGAGGGAGAGTAATTGGGCCTCCGGTAACCTCACTCACACGACGAAACACAACGCAAGCGTTGCTGCGTTATCTGCGTCTTTTTAGTTGTTCTCTATTGTATATTCTGGCTTCTAGGTATTGCAGTGAGTTATTCAAAAGCTGAATCACTACATAGTCACTATCCGCTGTCTGTCTGGCCCTGTGTATGCTTATATCTATAAAACTACGCAACGGATTTTGATGCGGTTTTTTTAACAGATAGAGTGACTCTTAAAGAAGGTTTAAATGTATAATACATGCATATTGCACCCGTGCGAAGCCGGGCCGGGTCGCTAGGAAATACATATAAACACATTAGATATAATTATATCAAAGCAATTCACAAAATACTTGTCGGAATACACACTCAAATGTATTTTCTGCTAGTCTCATATTAGTGACAGTTGGTATCATGCGACATTCTATTAAAATACAGCTGCGTACCCACCAAAAGAAACACGCAATAACACACGCTATCACATAGTAATATAGATCAATAATTATAATATATGAAGTTTTTATTAGGTATATTGTTATGCGATGTTTGAACTATCTTACTCGATATGTTATTCTCGAAATCTGAGATTTTTGAGAATATTAATATTAGGACATTTTAGAGGCGTATTTTATAGGACTTTGTGGAATTAGTGGCGTCGTATGTATTCGTTAATCATTGTTAATTACAAAATAGTAGTAATTTAATATTGGGTTTCTTCTTAGCTATATTTAAGGTGTAGTTATGCGAATAAGATGTCATAAATGACTAGATTATGTGTTATGACCATAATCTACCCTTGTTCCAAATTTTATCGCGATCCGTTCATCAGTTTGACGTGATTAAGTAACCGACATATACACAAACTACATAAAATTAGTAATTTTCGCAAAACTATGTCCTATTTGTATTGTAACTTTCGTGAGACATACTATAGTCAGAATTTTAATTAGATTCCAGATTTGTCAAAAGCTACTGTCATTTTGTGAAATAATGATACCACATATAATATTGTAGTGATGCACACAAAAATCGATATACAATCAGTGTGTGTGTTTTATAATAAATGTTACAGAAAGTGACAGGATAGCGATGACGGCGACAAAATAACTTATTACCATAATACATCTATCTGTTTTATTTGTCATATTCCTTCATGATTACATTTTTTTATTTATTTCACACATCATTATAAAAGAAAAGTCTCAGATCGTTAATTAATCGTCAAAACTAAATTATCGGTTCAGAAATATTTAATTTCCTGATATACTTAGTTTACGAGAGTAAAATTATAAACGAGAAGAATCGATCCAGAAATATTGCATTTCCATATCGAATAATTTCGCAACGTCACTATTTAGTACTTGTCATAACGTTGCAACACTGAAATTGTCAAATCTGGAATCGAATTAAAATTCCGAGTATAAATAAATTATTATGTTTTCGTCTTACTCACGTAATTATTTGACAAGGAACTCGACTAGTTTCAAGCCATGCTAGAGGCTCATATTCATGAGCAGCATTTCGCGACCCGCGACGCGGCGACTGTCGCGCTGCTACTGGCTACTCGAGTCTGCGGGCCCAGCGCGCCCTCTGCCGTGATTCACGCGCACTAGTCTAGTCTAAATTAGTCGAATTCCTCGTCAGATTATTACGTGAGTAAGACGAAAACATGATCATTTATTGTCCTATTTATTTCTAATGTACAAATATTTTCCACTGAAAATTGTTAATTTTCGTTAAATACTTATCTGTACAAGCAAATTGTTATTTGTTTTACAATATCAATATCGTGCCTTTGTCAATACATAAATAAATGTAGTATTTAAGCTTGGCATATATTTGTATGCAGAAACTTAGACATCTTTATGAAAAATGCTTTAATTTATTTATGTAATTGGCCACAGAAAACTACACAAAGAGACGAGTGGAAGGCCTCTGCCCTGTAGTGGGACCACAATGGTTAATTAAAAAATATATTTGTCTGCTATAATATTCTATTATGTATGTACAGTACAATAGCTCAATCACAAGAACTTAAAACGGGTTTTTATCGTGTCCTATCAATTGTAACAGACTTATAGCAATAATATCCCCCCTTATCACATGCGAAAAATGCCATTTTTTGGCGAAAATTAAGTGTGACGCCCAATTTTGCGACATATCATTATTTTTGCAAGTGCCATGATTAGGAACTCAATGGTAAAATAAATAAACATGCCATTTTTAAGTTCTTGTTGACATTTAAAAATAGCCGTTGTCAACCCAAGTTCTACTCAACATTCAATTCGTTAGGAAGTTCGCAATCATTCTGTAAATAATGTCATATTGTTGATACCAAAATGTAGTAAATCATGTTGTTTTAATTCCGTGACGAGCGCACGACTTTTAGAATAATTTTAACATTAAGACTGCCATGGAATTTTCATTAATTAAGTTAATAAAAATTTACAGCGAGTATAATTGAAGTTTTCTTTCTTTTTCCTTACACATAAGTATTAATCAAAGTAATCAATCATGCCATCAATGCATCTGTACCAACATAGTGGCAGATTATTGATCCCTTCTTAGGGTCAATTTAGGGCAGAGTCGAAGAGCATCGTAAATTCTACTAAACATAATAAATTCAACCTTAACCTAACAGCGTAACGCACGAATTGCTTCTGAGATTTTAAAAAGACGCGCGCATTCTTCCGAATTTGCACGTCTGCGCGTGACCAACGCTGATTGGTGCACGCGCATTCTCGCGTATCCACGCGCCCACTAGCAAATAGGTAAGGACGAAAAATTAATTTTCCTGGTGCAAAAATTTGAATGCCTATACCTACTACCCGTCAAAGAGTGCGCGCGTATACTACATTCGTGCGGCTTCGCTTTAGTTGTGAAGAATTTGACGCTTCGGTGCGCTTCGACTCTGCCCTAGTATAAATTGACCCTTAAAGAAATCACGAAATTCTGAACAAATTCTTCAAAGGCATTTTGTACTGCATGTCGGGTATTGCATTTTTTTCCCGCCAAGAAATTATCCAAATTCTGGAAAAAGTAGTAGTCTATAGGCGCAAGGTCTGGTGAGTAGGGCTTTATACGAAAGGCGAGCTTCCAACCTCAGTCCTGGTAACTTGGAGACTGTTGTGCAGTGCATGAGGTCGCGCGTTGTCGTGCAGGAAAAGCGGAGACAACTGATTTACAAATGCTGGTTGATGTGCCAGCTTCTCCATCATTGTGATCAGTTCTTCATAGAACACATCGGTAGTAATGCTCACCCCGTTTGGTAAGAAGCTGTGATGAATCGAACCGGCGCTAGACCACCAAACAGTAACCATCACTTTTTTAAGGGTAAGTTTTCGGTTAGGGCATTGTTTAGCCGCTGAACCAGGATCCAACTAACTTGCTGAATGCTTGCGATATCAAACAGAATCTATTTTACATCGCAGGTAAATGCGGTTAAAAAATCCTTCATTTGTGTGTCTCTTAAGCAGTGCAAGGCACGTCTCGACGCGTACCTACTTCCCGCTGGCGATCAAAGTTCGTGGGGCACCCATTTGTCCAGTTATTTTACCTTGCCATTTTGACTAAAATGGACCAATATTGTTTTGACGCTGACGTCGAAAGTTGCCGTAGATTGTGTATCATCAGCTTCCACAATCGCCTTTAATTCGTCATTGTTGACCAAAGATTTCGGATTTATTTCTCAGGTCGAAATTTCCAGAACGGAAACAGCAATTAACCAATAATTGGTGGTGCCGCGTCGCTGCCACGACGCTACTCATATTCCATTTTAGTATGTGGTCTGTATTCTTATTTAAATTCACTAAAATAAAATAGGTAAAACTTTGTGTTTATATTGTTCTTAGAAAATACACAATTTACAAATAATACTTATTAAAAAATATTACTGGTTAACACCAAAGCTGGAAGACGACTGGCGTGCTAACGGTATAGGATCGCAGGCGCAGCTACGCACTTGAGAACACATAAAAAATGTCAACACATTAGTGTCGCCACAACATAATTAGTCGAATTGATAACGTATCCATGATGACGAAGAAGATTGAAATGCGATACAAATAAATTAGAATTTGTAATAAAAACGACTACTTTCCTGGAAATTACTTTAGACGACAAATTGCAATGGGGTCCTCATATTACATCTTTAGCGGGACAATTGAGCTGTGCAGCTTATCGTGTCTGGAAGATCCGGCTCAGTAAGACTAGTATACTTCAGTTACTTTCATAGCATTATGTCGTATGGCATTTTGCTGTGGAGACACGCTGTTAACATTGAGTCTATCTTTATCTTACAAATGTCGCGAATGTCTCAGAGAAAAGTTTAAGGAGATCAACATTATGACCGTTTTGTATTAATTTATCTATGAAAACATCATGTATGTTAGGAAAGACGTATATTTATTTGGTAAAGTGTCGGACAGACACCACTATCAAACTAGACATACTTAAGTTAAGTCAGCCATAAGTAAGTCGTTCATAGGGATTCTGTGTTAAATGTTACAAGATATCAGGCGATATACAATACATAAATGCAACAAAATTTAAATGATGTATAAAGAAAACTACAAGTAGTAACAAGCATATTACAAACTTAAGCCTACTACCGACAAAAACTGTTAAAGGCCAATCCTCCGCTAGCGTCGGACATCATTGTCCGATACGGCATACAATGTGTTAATGATTGTAGGTATAGTTAGTGGATAAAAATGATTGGATGTAGGCTGGTTCAGCTCCACAGGATAATCGAAACATACAGCCATGTTGCTAAAATGTATATCGTTTAATATAACCATTGCAAATGTGAGAGCCCTGTAACTAACTTAATATTAAATTCACATTAAATTAGATTAGTAGAATTCATTTGTGTCAGCGTGGAGTTGTCATGCTCACTCAAAGATCTCATTGGCGGTGGCACGTGCATTGGATCGCTCTATTCCCTATAATATGGTTGAGTTGGGCGGTGCTGGTGTATGTACGTGTTATGTTCGTGAACAGGCGCCGTCAACCGTCAACTGGGACTGGTCAGCTCCAGACTGTATTATTTATTGTCCTTTCCTTTTTCGATCTCTTTGACTGGATTTTGGTGTTACATTTTTCTCGCACAACCGAACCAACAAAACTATGTAACTAGAGAATTGTATTGTGAACCTGATTGAGAAAAAGTAACCTATGGAGTTGGAAACCTTGGAATGAGCGGCTCCCGTTGCACCGCCAGTCTTGCAATAATCAACCGCCAATGTTGCGGACGATAATCGCACCCGCGGCGGCTGGGACAGCCGGAAACAGCGGTCTCGTGTGTTTTAAAAATAATCTTAATTCCGCCACCGCGGCGTGCGCGGGTGGAAATCGCGTTGTGAAGAGTAGTGCACAAAACTGCAATGAGAAATCGCTACGCAAAAAATTGCTATGGAACTAGGTCTTGACATGGATCGTAAGAAGAAATGTCTGTTAGTGCTTAGGAAATACAGGAAAAAGAAACAAAGGTTTTGGGGAAGATACGATTTTGATGCGCGATGCGAATCAATTCGCAAGTTCTTGTCCTACGATGCGTAGAGGGGCTTGCAAATATTTGCGATGCGACGTCGAATCGTAGTTGTGTGTACGAGCCCTGAGTCCTAAGCTGTGATGGGATACTTTTTATACTGATTTAACGTACGGGTAGTTCAGTAAATAAAACGCAAAATCTTCTAAAATGGTATTTAATTGCTAGCCACCACTGTATCCTTACATAACAACATTTCGTGAACAGCACAGAATAGAAAAAAATAAATCGAAGTATCCTGTACATCAGCGGAAGGTGTTGAAGCCAGTGAAGCGATATTTGCGTGAGTTTCCACCGAAATACAGAACACTCGTTCGGGAATGTCGGCATCGTTTGTACATACTATTTGCATGAAACCGGTTACAATAAATATTGATCAGATTCATTTTCACATCGTTTTGTTGAGATCAAACAATTTGATTTGAAAATCCATGATAGATAGATAAATGCGCCGAAACTTGATACAACTATGTAGAATTATGTAGAATTCACTTGTAATTATATTTTGTTCACAAACCTTCCTTTCCAAAACCCCGTCTGATAGATTACTAGAAAAATATTAGACACGTATTTGTTATTTTCTTACATTTAAAAAATCTTTCGATTTATTGATTTGAAATATCGCATCATTCCTAAACTTAAACACGTTTTTATCTAAGTTTCTCCTTATAACAACCAATAAACGATACGCGTCTAACATAGTTTACCAATTAACAGACGAACAGACCAGAAAATTATTTTTTCTCTACCAATAACGCCCGCGTTTTCGCACACATATTCTACAAGTAAATTCTACAGTGTTACTAGGAAATAGTACTAGGAAAATCTCAGCAAAACGACTGCAAGAATGTTTAGTCGAGGGCAGCGGCACCGGAGATGATCTCGATAAGTTCTCGGGTGATGACGGCTTGACGGGTCCTGTTGAAAGTGAGGGTCAGTTTGTCAATCATCTCCCCGGCGTTCTTGGACGCGTTGTCCATGGCAGTCATACGGGACGATTGTTCGGAGCAGGCTCCTTCCTTGAGAGCGTAGAACAACATGGAAGCGAGAGAGAATTCCATGTAGGATTGGATCACATCGGCGTCCAATGAGTCGTAGGTCGCGAGCTTGGGGGCGCTCTGTAATGGAACAAGACAAAAAACATTAATTTTTGTTTTTGAATTCCATCATAATATTAATAATGCGAAAGTAAAAATATTAAGAAAGCGGCTGAAGGGACCAGGTACAAATTTAGTTCAGGGGGTAGATTATGGTCTTCAATAAAACATAGGTTCCTTTTTCTGAAGCCGCTGGCAGAAGCTAATTTAGTATCTTACTAATATTATAAATGTGAAAGTTTATTTGAATATTAGTCCGTTAACCACGCTGAAATTACTCAATTTTGATGAAATCTGGTATACAGACAAGGTATGGGCTGACTTTGTGATTGGATACTTTTTGTCTCGATTGAATACCCCCATGGGGATAAAACAGGAATCATATACTACGCGGACGAAGCCGCGGGCAACAGGTAGTTGTGTATAAAGTTGACTGTTAGAGAATGCCAATAGGCATAAGTCCGCCATTGTATACCGATTGTGCAAAAAGAGTAAATTAATAAATAAATAAAGCTACCTACGAAGTCATAATGTTATTGATTTTCAATTTTATCATGTTATCTCAAGATTTTATCGTAGTCTTTGAGTTAATTTAACAGCAAGTTACAGTTTATAACTCCATTTCATGTTTACAAAGCTTCAGCAGTGAGCTTCATACATCTTCCAAGACACATATAGTTCCAAAGAAAGGAAAAGACTATCCTTACTTATGTTATAAATCGGAAAGTGAGTTTGTTTGTTCCGCTTTCACGCCGTAACTACTAAACTAATAGCATTGAATTTTTGCAGACGTGAAGTTAGAAGTCTGGATTAAATAATAGGGTACTTTTTATCCCTAAAAGCTAGTAATTAATAAATAATATAGATTAGAACCTCACCTCAACAGCCTTCTGGCTGAAGAGTGGCAGATCAGACTGCTGGTAGGAGACGACGGAGCGGAACTTGTTGTAGATGATCTTGCCGGACGCGAACTCGTACCCAGACTCCAGGATAGCGCTCGCGATCTTGCAGGCGTCGTTGAAGGTCGGGGGCAGGCGACCGATCTGGAATAAAATAATTTTATTAGTAAGTAAGTAAGTTTTTAGTGCAACCACCCGATCTGGAGGACTTTTAAGAAGAATTTAGGAGGACTATGTTTAGTAGTGAACGTCTTGAGGATGCGAAGGCGCTGGGCAGAACTGATTATAAGCAATCAGTTTTATTTAACTGATCAAAATTATTGATAATCTACTAATCCTCTTTGAATTGTGGAAAATAAATCGCAGTTAAAATAAATATGACTAAACCTATTACAGACATTTTTTAAAGAAATACATTTTATACAGACAAATTCACAGATCAGATAACAAATGTACAAGAAAATTAACATTTCAGGCAATGTTTAACAGTTCACAGATATTTTTCTAAAAAAACTTGACCAAAGTCCATCAAGTTGAAGGTTTGTATGTAAGAGCTGACCTCATTGCACACACTGATGATGTGTTTCCCGTAGAGTCGCTGCAGGATACCGCGCGACTTGTCTCCGACACAGATGACCTTGATGTTCTCCGCGCCGGGCTCGGCCAGACGGGTGCGGATCACCTTCGACACACCCGTGTGGACAGCACCGCAGAGACCTAACAATATTACAAATCTTATAAGTCACCATGCGTTCATGGTGGCAGGGAGGTTTAAGACGCTCGCTTCTCATGCATGAGGGCGCGTGCTCGAAACCTACCGGCAAGTACCAATGTGACTTTTTCCGAGTTATATGTACTTTCTAAGATTATTTAGACACCACTGACAAACGGTGAAGGAAAACATCGTGAGGAAACTTAGGCTTATACTTTAAGTTTGAAATTGCCAACCCGCATTGAGCAAGCGTGGTGTTCATACCGTCTCCGTGCGAGAAGAGGCTTTGCTCAGCAGTGAACATTTATAGGCTGTTGATGAAGATGAAGTCATCATGTTGTTAGGCCCATGTAAATCTGGCCGGGGCTGCAGATAACGTTGCAGATTACCGGGGCTCCGGCTTGAGGCTTGGCTCATTCAAGGGAGAGAAGTCATTCAATGAATTTCCCCCTATGTAGAATTAACTTATGGACTGGATTTGTGCTAACACTGGGACAAAATACCGATGGTGAGCTTCCTCCTAATATTCAATGACAAATTCTCAACTAACACTGGAGACCTAAGATTAAGGCGTTCGTTTTTTTTTCGACTTCAAAAAAAGGAGGACGTACTAAGTTCGACTGATTGTTTTTGTTTGTGCGCCGATTACTCCTCCATTTGTGAAGCGATTTCCAAAATTCTTGTTTTGTTTAAAAGAGTATACTATACTCCCGAGATGATCCCATTTGTATGAGGTCAGGATCTGATTATGGAATCCTAGGGAAACCGAGAGAAGTCGGTGCCATTAATGGCCAAAAATTGTAAATTATATAGGTATCTATTAAGGTTCTAACGAATAATTTTGTATAGAACTTATGGCGCCGACTTCTAACCGTCTTCTTCTATCAGTGGGTGGGTATCAGTACTAATAATAGTTATTTTTGCTTTTTATTTTTTACTTTTTGTTCGTTATTAGTTTTTGTTTTTTTGAAGTCAGTTTTTTACCTTCATAGACAAAAAGACAGGTGAACTAAATATCAGCCGCTAATTGCACCTCTTGAATTATAGAGGTAAGATAAATAACCTTGAGTTTAAGTAAACACAGGTTGAAGTATGACAATGTGTTTGGTGATAAGAATTCTGAGTCTTGCATAATTTTATGTGCATTAGAATAATAAAAGATTTGAGGGTCATACATACATAACTTCACGCCTGTCTCCCATGGAAGTAGGCAAAGACTATTATTTTTTTTAAAGGGGAAAATCATCGAATATTTTCTGCCGCCTGTGTGAGGCGGTATGGAGTGTCAGACTCTTAGTGACTAAAAACCACCCCATTCCTTCTCCTGCGCTTCGAGCCGGAGCCCCGGTAACCCGTTAGGTTCTCCTCGATTCCAAATCGGCATCAGCCCTGTTGGGTCCCATCCGTGGTGGTTCGTGATGGCTCTTTGTGGCGCGCGCTGAACGCGACGCGCCGTACGCTCTGTTCTGGTTCTGGTCGGACGGGGAGCCACCCAAGGCAGAGACTATGGAACGCCAATTGCTACGATTCCTACATACCTCTTTCGCTTCATCAACAGTCATCAATATTTTCATGCATGCTCGTCGGTTAAGGGTACTTTTAATTTGGCCCCTCTTTAATATTGATTTAGATTTGAGTTACCTATAAGAATTTTTATAACTACTAAAATTAGACTTGACCGACTTATCATTTAGTAAGAATAGAAGTGTCAGCTTACCTCTGTCGGAGGTCATGGCGATGTACAGCTGCTTAGGGTCATCCTCCGGTGGGGCGACCTAACACAAGATAAAATAAAGTAAGACTTATGCCGGAATACTGTAACATTACGCAATTTTAAGTCGTGCTTAAATGTCGTGCCATCTCTGTCATTTTACAAAGAATTTGTAGAAACAGAACTATCCTTAAGCACGATTTAAAATTGAGTAGCGTTTCAGTATTCCGACATTAATGCAGTATTCATCATAGTTACCTATTACAATTGGGATGATGACAGGGTATGAAAATTAAAAATTAGTCCGTCAGTTAGGTAATAATAAAAATATTAGACTCTTATTTTTTATTTTGTCGTATAATAAAACAATACTTAAATAAAACGAATCAAAGTTTAGGAGTGGGGGCTAAAACGTCAATTCTACGTATAAAATGTACATAGAAGTGACGTCACGCGACATTTCAAATCAATATATCGTCGAAAGTATTCGTTTCAGTAAGAAAATAAAAAATACGTGTCTAATGATTTAAAATAATCTACAAGACGGACATTAAAACGAAAATTAGGCATCTACCCTATTTATTTGTGATAGATATTACAAAACTAAATATAAATATTACTTCTTAAGAGACATAATTTAGGCTTATTCAAAATTATGGCTCAATACAAAATTCTATTTTTAGTCATTTGTTTTCTTATGGAAAATATGATTAACCTGTTGAAATTCATCCCCTAAATTTGTTCATACAAAAGTAGTCTCTAAACATTGGAAATAAGGTCTATAATGTAGTAAGTGGAGAGCGATCACCAGTGACCGCTTGGGGATATATGGGTAAGAGACCTTCATTCCAGCTGCGGTAATTATCAGTGGCTGTAGATGTTAAAAACTGTATATAGAATGGGTTACATTACCTCAGCCCTTTCATAGAACTGGACGGCACCCTCGCCGTAGGGGCGAGCGGCCTTGAGGTCACGCTCAGCACGAGTGTACCTGGAAGTCACAAGTTATGTTCCAAGTCAAAGTCAAAATCATTTATTTCAATTAGACCTGGCACTTTTGAATGTCAACAACAAAATATTGAAATATTTAAAAAAGATGTCAGTCTGTCTTCTAGTAAAGCTACTTGCTCATTTAAAGTGTAGATTCCTATGGAGAAGAACGAGCAAAAACTCCCATAGGTTACTAGTTTTCAATAAGATTCACAATACAATATTCTTGTGAATATATCCAAGTAATCCAAGTTAAACAGAGTGCAATAGAAATTCTATGGCTTCTTACTTCTATACCATAATTATGTAGAATTTGTGTATCAGTAAATGAGTTGATTGTCTGGTCAGTGGGTCATCTTAGGGTCGGAGTTAGGTACATGATATCTTCTATTGACTACAGACAGACTATGTACCTAACTGTAAATGAAAGAAATGAATACCTGGATGTAAGGAGTCAGGGTGATATGTACTAGCAATCATCACACCACATTATCAATTATAATGATAATAATATTAAATATTTATCTAAAATCCTTAGGATAAAAAGCATAAAAAGAAAAATATATGTAACAAACACTTATCAAAACTCTCAAAAAATCTGTTTAGTGTGGACAACCCGGTTGAATTGCTACAGTTATTTCAATTCCCTACTATTCAATTAATACTTTTACGAAAATAAAATTTAAGCTATCTATCAAAATTTGTGCAAAAAAATTGAAACTCCCTTCAGCCATGTCACAAGTCTAATTTGAATTTGGAAATTTGTTCACATTTGAATTCTATTTTCAAAATTTTATCTCATTACTGTAATAAAGCTTGCCACTCACTTAGCAGCTGACACCATCTTCATGGATTGGGTGATTTTCTGAATGTTCTTTACAGACTTCAGACGGATGGAAATGGCTTTCAGGGTAGCCATGTTCCTGTTCTGCTGCTGGTTGGCCAAAGCCACCACTTGGCAGACCCCTGGTGCTGCGCGACCCAACATTTTTACGGCTCTGAAAGATAAAACACAAAAATCAGATGATAGCAATGCAGGTTATGTCCTTAGATTCCAAGTTATGTAAGAGCATTACACTAGCCGACATTGAATCACAAGTTTTAATTGATTTTTTACACTTAAACGGAAACTGATGAAACAAATAGTATAACTATAATTTTACACTAATTTAACGATAATTACTAACTTTTCAGGGCGTTTTTTTGGTCAAAATCACCACCAGCCGACGAAAAATGTCGCTGGCCGAAACGTTTAACTTGGGATGACAGCGAAAAAAAATACGAAGCCAATGAAATAACAAAACGAAACTTGCAATATGCTATAAAAATAAGTTCGTTTAAAATTGATAAATCAACTTAGGTAATTATTAATAAAAATGAGTAAAGTTAATCTAAAAATGTTATAGATCACTTTTAGCTAAAAAATAAAACTCATGAAGGTGCCTAAAATAAATGTTCCTAGAGTTAAAAATAAAAAAATAATTTACACGCACAAAATAACGCCCTATTCTTCTCAAACATGCATTAAATTGGTATAAAATATTATGATATCCAATGAGGTATTTTGCATACTTTCGGAATCTAAAATGAATTCTTCTCTCCATAAAAGCGAAAACTAAACGCTACGAGCGACAGTGCTGTCAGTTGTCAAAGTCATACTAAATATTATCCGACAAAATTGAAAAGCTAAGATTTATTGACAATGCTGACTACATTTGCAACTTTCGGATTTGATAGTATAATCTACTGTACCAACAACAAGTTTTTGTAGCTGATTTCCTATATTGTTTTCTTCATAATTAATTATTATCAAAATGCCTGAACCCGATAAAACTGCGCCTGTGAACCCGGAGAACATCCCTGAACAGCCGACCAGAGAAATAAGTCAGACAGACCACTTAAATAAGAAGTTATTGACGTCTTTGTTTAAGCGGATGGATGAGGATGGTGACTCAGTGCTATCAAATATGTTGAAAGACGACAATAAAACAGAAGATCACGAGTGGGAAGACTAGATACGGTTATATTGTTAGTTTATAAGACTATTTGTAAGCATTCCTCGTGAAAATAAAGTGATTTTATTATCAAGACAATTTGGAGCATTTTATGTTTGTTCTCCTTATTACTTCCTGTTTCTATCTATGTAGGTATATTGTTAGTTTATCCTTGTATTTACTGCGTATTATAATTACGTGAAAATATAGTAAGTACTCTAAAAGATACTTCACCCAGTCAATTCATGAGAAATTTAACTTTGAAAATCTGAGATTGAACCAACTACTATCAGAATGTTACATATGATATGGAAAGGATAAACTTTAACTATTATATTACAAAATATATTTCATTTTTATACAGTTAATTAGCTTGAGTAGGTACCACTGTTATAGTCTGCCCCTATGAAACCAATGAAATGTAGCTTTAACTGTCAAACACTGAGCGGTGACCGCAACCTATTGTTCTTTAATTGTGTCTATATACGGTACTCAACAAGTTAATATTTTTCTTCAAAATAAAATTCTCATTTTGCTACTCCTAGCTACAACAGAAATCTGGTTCTTAGTTAAGGATGCACTCAAAATAGTATACAAATACAGATAGCTTAATTATTTATGACTAGGACTCACAATGAGGTTTTACATAAAATGAGCACCATTCTGATGTGTATCGTTCATAGTAAAAGAGGTGTAATTCCATATTTTTAAAATGCATATTTTTCGCTTTACATGCTCAATGATATCACATTTAGTCATAATTTTCAATAATGAAAGATACCTATCACGTCTGTCTCCCAGGGGGTAGGCAGAGGCAGTCAATTTTTTTTTTAAACTGTTTAGGATGTCTTTTGCGTCTCGCCTGGTGGAAAGCGAAGATATGGCCGAAGATGGAGCACGCCTATCCATGAGCAACCTGTTCACTCTGGACTTGAAGACAGTAGGTACGACTGTACGAGATTTGTTGAGAAGTTGTATTTGTCGGGAAATACAGACTTCGGCAAGGAATTCCACCTATACTTATTTATACTCTTTGATTCCCACACACCCTCACTCACCAAAATGTATACTATACAATAAAAGACCCAGAAGACCGAAATGTATCCGATAGAAGACCGATAAGCTTGCGACTTTACGCCTCTGTTCACGATTCTCGAGTATCTCTGAGATTCCGAGAGCTACCTATGATTATGGCCTGGCACTTGTTTGCGTTTACAGCTATGTCAAACCTCTCCGACCAATTTTGAACAGCTGTTAGATCACTATTAAGTTATTTGACTGCACGGTTGGCGCGGTGGTTGGGCAACTGACTGCTGCGCAATGTGTCGCGGGTTCGATTCCCGCTAGGAACAACTCATTGTGTGATCCACAGATCGTTGTTCCGGGTCTGGGTGTCATGTGTATGTGAACTTGTATGTTTGTAAACGCACCCACGACACAGGAGAAAATCCTAGTACGGGGCAACGTCTTTAAAAAAAAAAGTTTACTGACAGTACAGCTGCAAGTCGTCCGCATACAAATGGTACGCACACTGAAGTACAGGAGTAATAAGGTTGTTAAAAATAGAGAAAAGTAGTGGGGAAAGAGTAGATCACCAGAGCGAAGGTAAATATGCGAGGAAAGAAAGGAGTAGTAAAAGAAGCAAAGGTTAATAGACTACACCAACAATAAACAGTTAAAATAAATTAACTAAAATCGCGGGTTACTCACGTGAATATACTGAGAAAAGATCTACTAGTTTCGAACCACAGAGGGGCTCCTCCTCACGAGCAGCGTGCACGTGATTAACCCACAATTTTAGTTAATTTAGTATGTCTCACGATAGTTATTATAAAAACACAGTTAAAATAAAACAAGAAAAAACAGTAACTTGAATAATATTTTATTATGTACTACACACATGTATGAGGAATGTTCTTATTTACATAGTTTGCATCTGATGTTATTTACTTTAATATACATTGTATGCGTCACGCTAAACTACGCAACTCAAGTATAATACTGAACTCAATCATTTATTAACAGTTTTTATTTAACATCAACAAAAAGCTATAAGCTCCATCAAGAATTATTATTGCAACAATTTAATATTCTTTTTTTAATCATCTCAATTCTCAAAATGGCATCTTATTTTATAAATAACATATATAATATAAATTACACAAACATCTATATCAACAACCGGCGTGTAAATGAAAAAATATGATTTAAAGTTGTCACAAAACAAAATTATGTCAAAAACATCTGTACATATAGAAAAATATGGATTTTTTTTTCAAGGGCCAATGATAAATTTGGTATAGATATGTTGTAAGTAAAATAAATTGTACGACGATAGTTCATGGTATTGCGCGACCATTACGTGGTCAGACACAGGAGAAAGTACCTGGTAACATTACCTGGAACAAAATGTTACAATATTAGATAACTTTAATCGAATCGTAGCAATTGGCGTGCCATAGTCTCTGCCTATCCCTATAGGAGAAAAGCATGAAGTTATAACATCATCATAACATCACGCCTTTTATCCCCGAAGGGTTAGGCAGAGGTGCACATTATGATACTTTATATACATTATTTACATTATTTCGACCAATTGATTTTATGACCTACTTAATTGTAGTATTTTTCAGTTTAAATTGGCAAGTACCCAATTAGGTACTCAAAGTCAAATTCAATACTTTTTTCGAACTGTCAAAAACGACAATTTTCTATGAATTTTGTACGAGACTGTGTATTGTGACGTCACGTCTTTTAGAGTCAACCAGCATACTATTTCTTAAAAAATTGCTGGAATAATGCTAAAATTAAGTTGGTCATAAAATCAATGAATGAAAGTGTGATTATTTTTTAATATTTTATTGTATTAAACAGTCAGTAAGTACCCAATTGAATGAACTTTCAGTGTTCGGGCGTAAGCCTTTTAAACTATTCTCCAACCAATCTTTCAGCTATGAAGATTCGAAGACGGAACAAACCACTATTTTGTTGACATTGAGAAGGTTTATAGTTCAGTAGTCACGGAGTGTCATGGAGTGTTGATAAGCAGACAGATCGCTATTCATTTCACACAGCTTATAAGTGGCCACTGCTGAATAAAGGCCTCTATTCACACGAAGAAGGTTTGAGCATTAACCAGCTTGCTCAATGTCGGGTTGGCGATTTAAAACTTATAATTAGAAATTATAAGCCCAAGAGGGCTTAATCTTGAATCCAATTCCCATCGATCGACATAGGTATTGTGAAATTCGTACTCTTGAATTGCAACACTAGCGCCCATTGCATCCGTAGTGCGTGGATATTGAATGAACTAAATGGTATTGAGTTTGTCTTCATATTCCGTACTCTGAAAGCTATTGTAACAGCTACGGTTATGGTTGTATAGTGTTGACACTGAATAATTATTGAGATTTTTTTGGATTGAAATTGCATTGACATTGAGATTGATTTCAAGAGTAAGCACCCAGGTTTCGTCACAATGTTTCCTTCACCGTATGTCAGTGTCTAAATATAAATTGGAATAGTATTACGTCCAGTTTCTATAACCTATCTATCTGTAGATTTGCTTACTAGAGATAGAATTTTGACACATTTTGTATGGAGCTTATGTCAAAATTCTATCTCTAGTAAGCAAATCTACAGATAGATAGGATATAGAGACTGGACGTTGTTTTATCACATAATTATGTATAAAATAACGTCCAGTTGTTAGTGTCTCACCTAATATAACGGGGGTTTGTTGCAGCGTGGCGACGTGGTTAGGCCTTGTCCAACATGTCCACGTTAATCTTGTAGAACACATACGGGTAGTACTCCGACGAACCGAACCCGAGACCGGCCATCTCCGCGTTCTGGAAACATAAAAGATATTTTTTTATTATAACTTTCGTGAGACATACTAAATAAATTATTATGTTTTATGTTTGAGTTTCAGTTTATGTTTCAGCCGCGTCGTGGGTCCCGTAATGCTCATGAATATGAGCCTCTTATGAAACTAGTCGAGTTCCTCGTCAAATAATTACGTGAGAAAGCCGAAAACATGATAGATAATTTAAAAAAGACATTAGAATTAATTTTCATAATCTCCAGATTGTTTGAAATAATCGCTGTTTATGATAAGGCTGTTTGAAATTGCTCGATTAATTTCGAGCTATAATAGGAGCTCATAACAATATACGAGCATTTGTGAGCAAGCCAATTTGGCTCTTTGAGGGGACGCGCCGTACGCAAGGGTCTGGTTCTGGTCGGGCGGCGAGTTACCTTTGCTCGCCGTCCGAAGACCCGCACGGTGGCCGGAGATCGTCTCGCGATCCCCGATGTCCGGAGTGTCTACCACGACGGTTTGGGTGTGAGGAGGTTCGTTCCCTCACGCGCCCCGCCTCCTCCTTAGGCATGACTGCTTCGCAGAAAGAGGAGACGGCATCCCAGTCCAGTAAATAAATAAATAATAATTCCAAAATGAATACTAACGTCCTGCGCGGAGGAAGTATGTTGGTGCGCGGAGTGGTCGAGGTGAGCGTACAGAGCTTGCAACACTTCGCGCAACTTCTTCGTGTTCTTACGGGACGGCACCATCACCACCGCTTGGAAGTTCACTGGGAGGCCGTATCTGAGGGGGAAATGGTACAATATTAATAATCATCATCAACAGCCTATAAATGCCCACTGCTGAGCAAAGCCTCTTCTCACACGGTGAAGGTTTGAGCATTAATCACCACGCTTGCTCAATGCAAACTTATAATAAGAAATTATAAGCCCAGGTTTCCTCACGATGTTTTCCTTCACCGTTTGTCAGTGGTGTCTAGATAATAATAGAAAGCACATATAAGTCGGAAAAAGTCCATTGGTACTAGCTGTTGGTAGGTTTCGAACCGGTACCCTTATTCATGAGAAGCGGGCGCCTTAAACCTCCGGGCCACCACAACATATCTAAATAAATATTAATATACAGAAATAATTAAATCGACATAGAAGGCCTAGTCAGGAGACATGTTTAATATCTTATGGCTAAAATGATAATTACAGATAACCATTAAAATATTACCAATCTCATGATCGGCAACAAGACATTTATTTCTAATCTAAGTATCACTCAAAGATTTCTAATAAACAAAGTGAGAAAACTATCGGATAAAATTAAGACTTTCAAAAAATAAATACATTACTAAATATATGATTATGTGTTTAAGAGTCGAAAGTAAATATGTCAAAGTGGGCCTTCATCAAAAATAAATTATTTCGACTGTTCAATGCAATAAAATATTAAAAATAATTAAACTTTTATTCATCGATTTTATGACCAACTTCATTTTAGTATATATCCAGCAAATTTCTAACAAATAAGTATGCTGTTTGACGCTAAAAAAACGTGACGTCACAATACAAAATCTCGTAAAAAATTCATAGAAAACTGTCGTTGTTAACAGTTCGAAAAAAGTATTGAATTTGACTAGTTGGCAAGTACCCAATTCAATTGAGTTTTCCTTTTTATGACGTCCCTCAAAGTATGTTAGGACGATAATAATAATATTATATCGATTACTGAATTACTGCTTGCAGATCATTATTACTTTATTGCTAGTTGGTCCAATGAAATAACTCAACATTATTTATTTATTTATTAAAACTTTATTGCACATACAGTGAAATTGGCGGACTTAATTTTAAAGCAAATTAAAATGTACCAATCAAACGTATCTATGCGATTATTTTCAAATAACCATAAACCTACACTGTTAATAAAGTAGAAAATTGATTGTCTCACCTCAGCACAGACTCGACGAAGACACGAAGCGCCTTGACGTGGATCCAGGCGCAGAAACATTCAGAGAAGTTCACCTTCAACCATCGCACCAACGGACCCTGGGGATGAGAATGGTAATTACTACCTTATGTTGCGTTCGTTAAGAACTATTATCGTTCACATTCGATTACAAGGACGTTGTCGGCTATAGGGGGGACGGGGGAAGGGATTAGTCCTCCATTAACGTCATTCACATGGCGGAAAAACGTAAGCGTTTAATATCCTACATGTTTCTATAATGACAGGGCCGGTTGGGCCCCACAAGATAATATATTTTTTTTCTAATGTGGGAAAATTATCGAATGACTGCTCCCGCCTGGGTGAGGCGGAAGGGAGTGTCAGACTCTTACTGACTAAAAACTACCCCGTTCCTTCTCCTGCACGTCGAGCCGGAGCCCCGGTTACCCGTTAGGTTCTCCGCGACCCACAAGATAATATTGGGGCCCGTTCATTTATAAACACTGTGACGGTCTCTCTTCTAATTCTTCTGTTTTAATTTTTCAACTTAATGTTTTTATTACTTCCACTGTCACACCTTTATTGTCTTTTTTATATTTTATTTAAGCTGCATCGTGCCTGGTGCTGAATAAACGTTTTTTCTTTCTTTCTTTCTTACATTATCGGAGAGTCCTAAACAGGTTTTTATAATATTTTTTGTCAGAACAAAGGATTTTGAATTTTATTCCTGTACGAAATAAAGTCATTATTATATAATGGCTTTTTAATATCTCTCTGTCTACCATTTCGAGTGTTACAACCAATAGGTACAACTTTCAAGATAAACATAATAACGTTTACATAACTATAATGGTTGGGCCCCACCATTTACGGGGCCTCTTTATTTACACCCGGTTGTTAACAATGAAGACTACATAAAATATTATTATATTTTATGTTAAACGGTTTTAAGAAGCTCTAGTCTACACACCAAGCTATACGTTTGATATCCATAATGAAGGCAGTTATGGAAAAGATTATTTTGTATGATCATAAAGATTAAAAGTGTGTACCAAATATCAGAGGGCTTAGTACGAGTTTCTTTTTCGTTTAAAGTAATAGAAACGAGATGGCGTCCGGCGCTCTGATTGGTTGGTTCATTAGCGCCGGCCAATCAAAGGGCTTAGTACGAGTATCTTTTTCGTTTAAAGTAATAGAAACGAGACGGCGTCTGGCGCTCTGATTGGTTAGTTTATTAGCGCCGGCCAATCAGAGGGCTTAGTACGAGTTTCTTTTCGTTTAAAGTAATAGAAACGAGATGGCGTCCGGCGCTCTGATTGGTTGGTTTATTAGCGCCGGCCAATCAGAGTGCCGAACGCGTACTCGTTTTGATTACTTTCAACGTAAAAGAAACTCGTACTAAGGTTTTAGGTATCAGATCTATCTGTCAGGAAAGGCCGTAATTCAATGACTAATTTTATCCAAACAAACAATCAAATGGGACAAGCCAAATAAGAATCCTTACTAATATTATAAATCGGAAAGTGAGTTTGTTTGTTTGTTCCACTTTCACGCCGTAACTACTAAACCGATTGCTTTGAATTTTTGCAGACGTGAAGTTAGAAGTCTTGATTAAATAATAGGATACTTCTTATATTCTCGAGGGAAAACGAAATTATTGGTATAGATGGCGCTGTGTGTATTGGTTTATGTCACATTGGCTTTTTATCCTTTTGTGACGCGAGCGAAGCCGCGGGTAAAAGCTAGTATAATATAACGTGAAGACATTTTTACATTGGAAAAATTATGGCATAAGAAAACAAAAGTATTGACAGATTCTATTGGAAGAAGAAATTACTAAAAACAAGGTGAGCTAACTAATAGTAAAAAGTATAAATATGAGGAAGGTATAGAATAATGAAATGATAAATAATGAAACGTAGGTGAGCAGCCTAGTGAGTGCCAAGCACGAATAACTATCGCATTCGTAACGTAATAGTATCGAGTGCGTTCGGCGCTCTGATTGGCCGGCTCAAGTGAACCAACCAATCAGAACGCTTAACTCGCTCGATATTATTACGATACAAATGCGATAGTTATTCGTGCTTGGCCCTCAGTACTAAGGTCTCAATATCAGATCTATCTGTCAGGAAGGGCGGTAAAATCCAATGACTAATCTTATCCAAACAAACAATCAAATGGGACAAGCCAAATAAGAATCCTTACTAATATTATAAATCGGAAAGTGAGTTTGTTCCGCTTTCACGCAGTAACTACTAAACCGATTGCTTTGAATTTTTGCAGACGTAAAGTTCGAAGTCCGGATTAAATAATAGGGTACTTTTTAACCCGGAAAAATTGATATTCCCGAGGGAAAACTAAATTATTGGTATAGATGGCGCTGTGTGTATTGGTATAGGCTACTTTTATCCGTATGTGACGCGAGCGAAGCCGCGGGTAAAAGCTAGTAAAAAATAAATAAAGAGTGTTACTTACAAACTGCTTCTTCTTGTCAGTAACGAGTTTAGTGATCTCGTTCTTGCCGGCGGCGAGGTCTGCCTCGTTGTACGAAAACTCACGCACAACGAACTTACGCTCGCGAGCGTGGTGCTTGAACTCTTCTACTACCTATTGGTGGACATAAATGTGAGTTTAACACATAACATAACATCACGCCTTTTATCCTCGAAGGGGTAGGCAGAGGTGCACATTATATCACTGTACAATGTAACACCCACTTTTCACTATTTATGTTATGAGTCCCATGCAGTCGCACTTGCGACCACTCGGCCAACGAGGCAGTCTAATTGACCACATATACGTAATATAAGTAGTACCTTCTTGAATAGAGTGACGGAGAAGAGTCCGTAATCATTGTCCTGGTGTATAAGCTGCGTGGAGCGCGGGACGATCATGTCGGTGATCTTCTCGTAGTTAGCATTCCAGTCGTTGAACATCGACCTGAGGAAATAAATGCATATTTAAGTACTTTATTTCCATAAATAGCACTCTTACTGCCCGCCACCAGTCAAGTGGAAGGAAAAAAATCACCTAGCCCAGGGAAGGCGAACCTTTACACATTGACGTGCCAATTGCTTTGAAGAAAAGTGTTTTACGGTTTTATGTGTGCCATCAATTGATAATTAGCCTTTTTCCTGGGAAGATTAAAAAAAATCCGCTAGGGGCAGCACCGGTGGGGGGGTACATATGTTTTGAATTCTCTATTAACAACAACGTCAAACGTGTAGAATTAAAATGGAATTAACTGAAGAATTAATTAGAATTTTCTATTGTTGGTCCATTTGAATTAATAAAATGTCTCGTACAAACATAAGTATGTTTTTTTATTTTATCAATTGTTAAATCTGTCCTTCGTGATAAGTGTATCCACTCCAAACACTTTTTTTTGTTAACTTGTGGTTTTATAAATGGCACAAATTTTACACCATCTTGCTTGTACCGACTATCAGACGTACAATTTGCGAATGCGCAAAGTTTTGTAAGCATGACTATTTAAAAAAAAAAAAAATTTATCACAATATTTATTTATTCTGATAATAATAAGACGTACGTTTGACGTTGTTGTCAATAGAGAATTCAAAACATATGTACCCCCCCACCGGTGCTGCCCCTAGCGGATTTTTTTTTAATCTTCCCAGGAAAAAGGCTAATTACTATATACTGTCAATCAGTAGCAATAAAGTGTACAGTTGGCCTGGTAAGCGGTCACCGCAGTCTGAGTACACCAGCATTATTCGAGACACCACAAATGCGTTGTAGGTTTCTGATCATTCATCAGTTTTGTAGTCACTGTCGTGCCCCAAATGTTGTGTACCGTGCCATCAACGGCACGCGTGCCAATGGTTCGCCATCCTTGACCTAACCGATTGAGTGACCAAGTTACCAACTACACTGAACTCTCTGTTACGAAAGACGAAAACAGGACAAGATGGATGAAATTAACACAGAGAGAAAGCCTTTCAGGGGCACGACCTTCAGAAATGAAGCAAGCGATCGAGAAGAAGCACTCTTACATGTAGACTAAACTATATGAGGTCAGTAGCTCCTAACTAACCGAACTCTAAGTAGAAACTTTGACTTGATTTTAGTGTTACATTGTTCTCGCACAATCCAAACAGCAAAACTATGTAACTAGTAAATTGTATTGTGAACCTGATTGAAAAAGAGTAACCTATGTAGTTTCTTGCCCGTTCTTCTCCATAGGAATCTACGCCTTGGAATGAGCAAATAGCTTCACTTTAAATTTTTGTTTTTGTTGACGTTCAAAAGTGCCATTCTGGCCTAATTGAAATAAATGATTTTGACTTTGACTTTGAAACTTAAAAGCATTTTTATATGACACTAGCTTCTGACTGCGACTTCGTACAGGCAAACTCGTTTTCTCCCGTTCCCTTAGGATTACCAGGACATTTTTCTGTCATAAGAACCTTCTCCTGACAATAATAAATACAACAAAAAAAAAATCAGCTAAATCGGTCTAGCCGTTCTCAAGTTACGGCGTGACAACGGGAAACGGGTTTCATTTTTATATATATAGACAATAGACAAATAAGTCACAGGTCACATGTTATTTCACTACTTTTAACCATATTATATGTTTAATTCTTACTAATATTATAAATCGGAAAGTGAGTTTGTTTGTTTGTTTGTTCCGATTTCACACCGTAACTACTAAACCGATTGCTTTGAATTTTAGCAGACGTAAAGTTAGAAGTCTGGATTAAATAATAGGGTACTTTTTATCCCGGAAAAATTTGATATTCTCGAGGGAAAACGAAATTATTGGTATAGATGGCGCTGTGTGTCAATACTTACAGACATACACCAATGTGTATGTCACGTAGGCTACTTTTAACCTTTTGTGACGTGAGCGAAGCCGCGGGTAAAAGCTAGTATTAGAGAAGTTTAACATTTACTAGTAGCACTTAGTGAACTTCTCTATATGAAAGGACTATCATCAGGCTTGTACTTACTTGGGCACGATGACCAGCAGTGTGGTGAGGTACTCGCTGTCCAGGATGAAATGTTCCCTCTTCACCAAGTCCGCCAGGTTACGGGTCAACAGACTGCCACTGTTAACACACATCATTATTATTAGCATTCGAAAAAAAAGGCATTATGCTCATTCAAATTAGAATAGGGTAAAAAAGGACTGACTTCAAGAAGCTGATGGCCGACCTTCAACATTGAAGAGGCACTATAAGAAGAAGAAGAAGAAGAAAAAGGACTAGATGCATGGCTCATTTTAATCATGTTTGTTTATGGTTAAAAGTCGGTTAACGAGCAGCCGGATCACTTGATGGTAAGCAATCGGCGTCGCCCATGGACACCTGGAACACCAGAGGCGTTACAAATGCGTTATCGGCTTTCTGGGGGTTAGGAGTTTGAGGATCGTTGGGGATTCAGGAATTTGGGAGATTGGGGAAGGGGAGGGTAATTGGGCCTCCGGTAACCTCACTCACACGACGAAACACAACGCAAGCGTTGCTTCACGTCGGTTTTCTGTGAGGTTCTTAAATGTAACTCGAAATTGTAGTCGACTTTTTAAGAAAAACTCAGTGTGTTGAATAAAAGTAATAAAAGCAATAGTCTAACGTTGAATATGAATGCTTAGTGCTTCTTGGCACTAAGCATCAACCAAAATATGGGGCTTTATCCTCAAAAACACGGTCGAATGGGTAAACTCTAGTAAATGAAGTATATTTATTGCACTACAAACACTTAAATAACATTACATCACTTCTTTTATCCCCGAGGGGCAGAGGTGCACATTATGCCACTGTACAATGTAACACCCACTTTTCACTATTTATGTTATGAGTCCCATGTAATAGGGGGTGAGCCTATTGCCATATACCGGGCACAATTACAGACTCCGGGCTACTACAGAAGATTTTTAAAAACCCCAGTAATACTTTGCCCGACCCGGGAATCGAACCCGAGGCCCTTGCCCTGCAATTGCACTTGCCACCACTCGGCCAACGAGGTAAACACTTAAATATAACATTTTATTTGTTTAATAAGCTGCAATAATATTGATACTCTTGAAAGAGAATGATCATAAACTAGGATTTTTAACTGCGAAGGATTTTTGCTATCAAAATATACGCGAGCGATATTTATAAGTGATGTATTGGATATTAAGATTTATAGCAATAATGTTTGGGTCATAAATTGGTTAGTATGTATTTTTAGAAGGAACGAACTCAGTACTGGTTAGAGAATTGTGCTTATAGATAACCGACGTTATGCTGCATCATTTTCCTCTTTTTAAACCAAGGTTGTATGCATATTGCAACTTAGCAAGTAAGTTTAAATGCATGGCCAGAATTGGGTAGTTTCTAGGGTATCAAAATTAAAAATCTAATTAGTCCGTCAGTTAGATAATGAAAAAATATTAGACACGTATTTTTTTTTATCGTATTAAGTTGCAATACTTAGACAAAAGGGCGCTAAGTTTAGGAGTGGGAGGTCTTTACGTCATAACGTGCTACAAAATGTGACACGCTGTGACGTCACAAGATATTTCAAATTAATATATCGTCGTAAGTATTTAACTTTAATTTTGTGAGAAAAGAAAAAATACGTGTCTAAAGTTTTAAATTAATGTATCAGACGGACATTAAAATAAAATTTAGGAATCTACCCTATTCCCTAAAGAATAGACGCTAAACTTGCGAGGAATCGATGTTTAGGTAGTACTCTTTATTTTCATTTTTGTACTTTTTAGACTTTATTTGGTTTATTCCACTTGGTTCACCTGGGTGATGGATGACTAAAGAAATTCTTGAAATTGATTAATTAATGGTCACGACTGCGATGAGGATAATTGTTTCGACGTTGTAAGTTACATATTTATTTTTCTTTCCTTTTTATTTTCTTGTGCTTTTTAAATTTTGTTAGTTGTAAATATTCAACCTTGTAGATATAGATATAAAATCGAATTTCATTATTTAATTAATTAATTACTGACTGCCTCGTTGGCCGACTGGTCGCAAGTGCGACTGCCGGGCAAGAGGTCTCGGGTTCGATTTCGGGCAAAGTACTACTGGGTTTTTAAAAAATTCTCAGTAGTAGCACGGAGTCTGGAATTGTGCCCGGTATAGGGCAATAGGATCATAAATAGTGAAAAGTGGGTGTTACATTCTACAGTGGCATAATGTGCACCTCTGCCTACCCCTTCGGGGATAAAAGCGTGATGTTATGTTATGTAATTAATTAATAAAATTCGAGTACTTACGTCTGTTTCTTCTCCAAGTTCTGTAAGTTGCCCTTGAGTGCGTTGTAGGCGCCAGATTTCTGTTTTAAATCCGCATCGATCTGTCCCACCTGGATAGAGGAATATTGTTCATCAGTCATTATCCTTACTAATATTATTAATCGGAAAGTGAGTTTGTTTGTTTGTTCCGATTTCACGCCGTAACTACTAAACCGATTGCTTTGATTTTTTGCAGACGTAAAGTTAGAAGTCTGGATTAAATAATAGGGTACTTTTTATCCCGGAAAAATGTGATATTCCCGAGGGAAAACAAACGTATTGGTACAGATGGCGCTGTGTGTATCGGTATATGTCACATAGGCTACTTTTTATCCTTTTGTGAGCGAAGCCGCGGCATTTTTATAATAAGGTACTAGACAATACAAACCTGTTTACTGATGATATCAGCGATGTTACGCAGGCTCTGCTTGATGGGGTATTTAGCCATGTCCCATTGGAATCGAGTTAGATAAGATGGTAGATCGCCTGTAACGTAACACCACAATTAGAATTATTCACACACACATACAAAATAAAAGCAAAGACATTGTCAACTCCTTTTGAATCTTCCCCGGCTATATTTAAGGTATATTGTTTAACAAAAACACGTAACATCGTTCAACAGCGACCATTTAAACAAATATAGATTTAATTATTAATTACACTAAGTTTATATTAAGTTCAATATTTATTTTATTATAGAAAAGTGCTTAACAAAAATATAACAAAATAAAACGAATTGGAAGCCGTTTCAAACTGAAATTACTAAGGTCTAGCTTAACGTGCATATAGACAAACTAATAATACCCTTGTACATAGACAAATATAAGATCAATATTCAAGAAAAATATTTAATGATTTGACAAACGACTGATGAAATAAAACTATTGAGAGTGGACACTAAAACCGAGTCAATTTCTCCTTAATATAAATTTCATTTTACTACTATACTCGGAATTTTAATTCGATTCCAGATTTGACAATTTCAGTGTTGCAACGTTATGACAAGTACTAAATAGTGACGTTGCGAAATTATTCGATATGGAAATGCAATATTCCTGGATCGATTCTTCTCGTTTACAAATTTTACTCTAGTAAACTAAGTATATCAGGATAATAAATATTTCTGAACCGATAATTTAGTTTTGACGATTAATTAACGATCTGAGTCTTTTCTTTTATAATTGTGTGTGAAATAAATAAAAAATGTAATCATGAAGGAACATGACAAATAAAACAGATAGATGTATTATGGTAATAGGTTATTTTATAAATTGTCGCCGTCATCGCTATCGCTATCCTGTCACTTTCTCTAACATTTATTATAAAACACACACACTGATTGTTTATCGATTTTTGTGTGCATCACTACACTATTATATGTGGTATCATTATTTCAAAAAATGACAGTAGCTATTGTCAAATCTGGAATCTAATTAAAATTCTGACTATAGGTATTTGAGTAGGTCCTATGACAGCTAGGAGACACCTACTTGTACTACTAATTCTAACTAAAACAACTATGTATAACCTTACGTTAGAGCTATTGATGATACTAACTGCTAGTGCTAAAATCTCTATTCGTAAGTATGTATAGTCTCTACAATATAGTACAACTAATATTAGGATTACGAATCCTTACTATAATATTATAAATCTGAAAGTGAGTTTTTTGTTTGTTTGTTCCGCTTTCACGACGTAACTACTGAACCGATTGCTTTATTAAATTTTTGCAGAGGTAAAGTTAGAAGCCTGGATTAAATAATAGGGTACTTTTTAACCCGGAAAAAATTGATATTCCCTAGGAAAAACGAAAGTTTTGGTATAGATGGCGCTGTGTGTATTGGTATATGTCACATAGGCTACTTTTCATTCATTTGTGACGCGAGCGAAGCCGCGGGTAAAAGCTAGTAATATATTATACGAAAGTAATGTATAATACGAAAGATTGTTTTATCGTTAGACGTATCATTAAGCTCGATGCTATATATCAATTTGTACAGCCGATTATCAAACCAATTACAGTTTTAATAAGATACAAAATTCTCTATGTACAGAAGTATAAAATACATTCATAGCACGATTCCATACATATTATAAAACGACATGCAATACTATGTAATTATTATATCATGCACATATACATGCTTCGTAACCCGTATTCAAATATTGGACATTGTAATTTATATCTTAATAGTAATAGGTTTAAGATTCAAAGTTCAATGACTATAAAGGTACGGTCCATAGTATACAAGAGTTTTCAAATACGGGTAATTAAAACTACATTTTATTGTGTTTTGGCTAAGGTAATGTTTGCATTAATGGCACATAAGAATATTAGACGAAAAGTATTTATTGATTTATGAAAAAAAAAAATCGTCTTATAGCCTACCAAAGACATTTCATGTCACATGTGATGGTTTATAAGCAGCCATGAAAAATAAATTCTTCTCTTGCACAAAACTTTAATATAATGTAGTTCTGCTACAAATAGTAAATACATCGAAACTAAAATACGAATAAAAACTAAGCACATAATACTATTTCATATTTATTTTGTGTTACGATCACCTAGTTGGCAAGATAGGCCCCTGTTTAATGGGTAAATAATAGCTTTTTATGAGGGCTAAAATATAAGAATTGTAACACTATAACTACAGTCAATATTTCATTTGTAAATCTTCGGGCCCCTAAAAGGATTGCAGGGGCCCAACCGTTAACATTATTATCTAAGTACTATATTTTCAACCCTAAAGGCTAAAGCTCATTAATCTGTTGCTTCAAATCTCTGTGTGTAATAAACACAGTATCATATAAAAAATTGTAGTCAAATGAGTAAGAAATTCAATAATAGATTTCTTTAAAATGTTAATGTTGTCATAACTTCTAGGTGAAATTTCTGTAAAATCCTTGATAATAAATGTGTTTTGTTACAATTCATTCCGATTCTCAGAAGATTAAAAACACGAAATTGAATAAATATAAGTCAATACATATCATATAGCTAGCTACCATAGTTTTTTTTATGAATTCTAAATATCACACTCTATAACGAAATCCCTATAAATCTTTGTTGCAAAATCAATCACAGAAATTAGGTCAAACCTCCTGAACATTAAAAAACAATCGCACAGTACTTAGCAAGAAAATACAGTTTTCTATAGACAAGAAAAAGTAATAAATCTTCATACAAAATTAAATATCTGACAAGTTCACACCGTGACCTTGGTTTGGAATGACGTAATCGATAACAAAGATAAAACAGTTATCTACATAATAATATTATTTTTATTTAGTAAATAGCCACTTAATGAGACACTTTTTTGACCACAGTAATATCATTATCATCATCAACAGCCTATAAGTGGCCACTGCTGATCAAAGTCCTTTTCTCACACGGAGAAGATTTGAGCATTAATCACCACACTTGCTCAATGCGGTTGACGATTTCAAACTTATAATTAGAAATTATAAGCCCAGGTTTCGTGACGATGTTTCCCTTCACCGTTTGTCAGTGGTGTCTAGATAATCTTAGAAAGTACATATAACTCGGAAAATGTTACACTGGTAGGTTTCGAACTCGCACGCATGGAAAGAATGACATGACGTATTCAGAAAGAGTAGACCATCGACTTTCCACTAGTTATGCTATGCGTCCTGTTATTGGTGATGAGCCTATTATTAAATACATCCTTTTTTTTATAAACCGAAAAAAATATGTTCAGTTAAACTTTGCGTGGCCCGCACTTTGTTTTGACCAATAGGGTAGATGATTAATTTTTATTTTAATGACTGTCTGGTAGATTATTTAAAAACATTAGACACGTATTTTTTATTTTCTTACGGAAGCAAATAGTTTCGAAGATAATTATATTGATTTGGAATATCGCATGACGTCACTTTTGAGTACGATTTGTACTCTAAAATGACGTGGCTAAGCTACCTCCCACTCCTAAACTTCGATTCGTTTTATCTAAGTATTGTTTCCTTATACGACAAAATAAAAAAATACGTGTCTAATATTTTATATTATCTAACTGATGAACTAATTAGATTTTTAATATTTATACTCTGTCATCATTCCCATTGAAAGAATGTCTTCTCCTCTAGAAAACATCAAACAGGATGTTAGATTGTTCTACATTTTTATTTTGTATATAAAAAGTAGAAAAAAAGTTCGGTATTTTATCATATTATTTACTTCATTAAACAAAAAAAGAGACAAGTGGAATATATTTTTAAGTCTAATAAACAAACAAAAATAGATCAACTTATTTGAATACTTAAATCTACTAATCTGTCTCATTGGTCTCATTCAGGTCTCAGTCTGCGTGCTGGACAGCCGTTATTAATTTTCAGAAATAACTTACAACACGGAATCAAGGTTATAATCGGCATTGTAATAAAGTTATATTTAGAGGCAGCCATAACTTGGATATATGGGTCAAACCAATTTCATACGGGAGTGATTGATTCGGTTTTTGGCTGGAATTTAACTTATACCTTTTTTTTGGTTAGGGGCAAACCTGATGGTAAACGAATTTTTCATGAATGTTTAATTGGCATACAGTATAAAAATATGTCGTCTAGGGAAAACCCTGTTGGATAATAGGGTAGATTCCTAAATTTTATTTTAATGTCCGTCTAGTACATTAATTAAAAACTTTAGACACGTATTTTTTCTTTTCTCACAAAATTAAATACTTTCGATGATATATTAATTTGAAATATCGTGTGACGTCCCAGCGTCCCTCCCACTTCTAAACTTAGCGCCATTTTATCTAAGTATTGCAAGTTAATACGAGAAAATAAAAAATACGTGTCTAATATTTTATAATCATCTAACTGACGGACTAATTAGATTTTTAATTTTGAAACCCTGGAAACTACCCAATTAGGGATTTTTTCTATGTCTACTGAAGATATATTATAAAAGGTATATTTGGACACAAAAATCCGTATAAAGACGATTTTCGACAAGTATAGATCGTCTCATTGTGGTGCTGCATCTATCATTTAATTTTACAACCAAGTCCAAAACTAAGTTTTCCAAAGGGAAAACCTTAAACTTGTATCCAAAGCTCGACCAAAGATCATAAGGACCCCAAGATCAGCAATCGCTATACAGACGAGTAATAACAAACTTGTTCAACGAGGGTAAGTTTTTTATCCGCAATAAAATCTTATTTCTACTACTCCATTAACCATAAACACACAAAGCATACCGTTATAAGAAAAAATAACTTAAAAATATCAGTTACGGGTAAAAATAAAAAATTAACAAAAAAATATACATTAAAAAATACAACATCGAGTATTAATAAATTAAACATCTAAGCAAAGTAAAATGAACCTTAAAAAGCTATAGAACACGTTCGACTTTGTAAAAGCAACTACAGGGCAGTATTGCCAAGTAACTACACAGTATAGACGCCATTTTGGACGTTCAATATATGGTGCAGGACGTACAGACGTACAGTGTGACAAGTCCTAGCTATAGCTTCGTAGCGTCACCATAAACTTCGATTGTAATAAACGTCAGTCCTAATTTATTAGTGGCTGGGATTTTTCGAGCGATTCTACGAGTGAAAGAGGAGTTTGTTTTCGACTATGACAATCACAAGAAAAAGTAACAAATATCACTTAAATTTTTCACCAAAAGAAAAAAGTAGTTAAGACGATTTTTTCACCAGCATAACTCCACTAACAAATTAGGAAAAGAAACAAAATTCAGGATGGCGCTCGCGAAGTAAACACGGCCAGCGCCATCTGCTGTTTGAATCCAAAAATATTAACAATGCAAAAACTATAGAAAACCAATTTAGATAGCAATCACTGCCTTCACGTGCCCTATTCGCGTCTGCAGAGAGCGCTGAACGTAACGAAACCTTATTCAAAGCTTCGTTCCTAATAGGATAGAGGGCCTACCGGGGTAGGGTTTGCACAGAACTTGACTTGATAGTTAATTTAGTCAAGTTCGATGCAAACGCGGGAGTTAGGCGAGGCGAGGGAGCGGTCCTAAACCTTGCGTGAGTATATGGTGGTGGCGTTCCTCGTCGTCATCGTCGTCCCAGCGCGGAGAGCTGCGGCCGCTGGACGGTTGCGAAGGCTGCGAGGCCTCGTATTCGGAATGCTCTCGATGCTCGCACGGCCAGCACCCGTGGTGCTCCGAGAACGCGGAGTCGCACACCGGGGACGTCGGCGTGGGCGGAGGCTCGCCCCCGCCCGGGTCCGCGTATGAGTCAATGCCTAGAGTCGCCACAGTCCTTAAACCTTCGCTATCACTTCCATCCCCTCGCACAACAAGCTACCACTGTTCGTATCTAGTTTTATGGCGGTTGTAAAGTTATTTTCAATGTTTTACGTCCATGTTTCTCTATAAATCCCATTATCAATCTCATAATATCGTTTTTATCGCCTCCGTGAGTTTAGGATGAAAATAAAGAGGATTTAGTATAGGACAGGAGCAAAATAAAGAATATATTTTTCATAAAAAAATAATATAAATAAACTAAATAATAATAAAAAATTAAGAAGCGCAAAGCATAGACAATTTTTAAAGCTTGATATAGCTAAGCTATGAATGTCTTGTGAGGCAGTGATTGCTATTTATCTATGGTATGAAGACATTATATCCAGTATCTTAATAACGAGTATTACAACATAGTGTGCGATAACTTACAATGTCTAGGTAGTCAAGTAACTGTAAGCGAAATGTGGTCTTATTCAGAACTCATGGAAATATGTAATGGATATGAATTCATTCGATCGTTTAAAAATAAAATATTATAACTGAAACATTCTTATTTCTTCTGAAAGTGAATAATAGATAAAATAGAAAAGAAATAATTTTAAGTTATCTGCAGATTTTTGTAAATGACATCATGTTGTAAGGCAATTTGACAGTTTCAGATTAAGTTTCAATCTACAATCTACATGCATCCGTTGTCCTACATTTTTTGGTTAGGTACTAGGAAAAAATCGCTCTTCAATAATGCAATTAAAGTTCAAATGACCTCCGCGATAGTTAACTACCAAGGCCACTGGAACACATCGACTAACTAAAAATATTGCTCAACAAAATTTTCTATCAAAATAAAACACAAAACCCGAGTTTGACTGCAATAAATCTGACAAAAAACGCATTCTGATCAGTAAAATGGCTACTAAATGGATTTCTTTTTACCATTTGTTAAAATGCATCAAATAACAAGAAAAATATCCTGAAAAACTATTAAATCCACGTTCCATATATTGCTTCCAGTCTAACTAAAAAACTTTAGTATAAAAATCCTATCAGTTGAGGAACCAACCTAAAAAACAGTGAAGTACTGAATAAATATAAAATTTTATACTTCAAATGCGTCAAAAAGCAAGAAAAAAGTCCTGAAAAATAAAAATGCACAACGCTTTGATTTCTTCCAACCCAGCCTAAAAAATAAGTAAAAAATCCTATCAACCGAGTAAAAAAACCTTGCTATTTTAACATAGGACTTATATCCATTACACATTGCCTTAACAGTACATATTTAGTATATACGTATACTGGTATATGTATGTCATATCTTTATATTAATCTCATCTGAACAAGTCACACTTTCACTGTTTTACGATAAGAACATTATCTCAGCTGTTCATGAGAGGAACATTGAAAATGTGACGTAATTCCGCTTATTATAGAGTATATTTTTACCTAAATCCGACACCACATGGCTTGTATACTATGAAAGGGAGTTTATATGATGTAAAGACGGCGTTATGCAATGGTATGCATGTAAAATCAATATAATATAAATCATGTCAATTACTATAACTTACATATAAATTGTCTTTTTTTGTAGAATTTTTTAGTTTCTTTCAAAATTACACAATCTAATGCCATAATGTGTCGAATAAAATATACATGACACGATTAATTAACACCCTATACACGACGTCTTACATAACATACGATTTATAAATTCATTTTGTGTTTATCTCCAGTTAAAAAAGTATATACTTATTAATTGTTACACCACCAAAAAAAGTAAAAAAACAAAACGATATATTATAAACTTTAGTACATTTTATAACGCGTAAAAATCACCAGAAAAGAAGCTTCATATTAATAATAATATTAACAGAATTATCTTACATATAATAACAATTTCTGTAACAAAAATATATTTAGCGTAAAAATTATTGCTTTTTATTTAAATTATAATAATATACAGGTATTTGAAGCGTAGATATTTTATCGAAGCTCGCACAATATTACTAATAAGCTCATTTTTACATAAACTACGAAAAAAATATTACTCACTGCCGCAAACTTTTTTCCATTTTTCAGACACTGAAATGCAATCCCAAAAACTAACATTCTCAATCTAAAATATATAGAAAATTAATTTCTAAAACACAATATCGTGTCATTCACAAACTCATGATGAATTAAGTAAAAAATAATAATAATAAAAAGCTATACTATTGTGATATAAAGCATTATGTACATATATAAACATATCCTTTATAAACGCATTCAATATTGCCATAGAAAAATAGAAATTAGAATTTAGAAGAAAATAATGAATGCGCAATTTATTCCAATTTTAAAATCTTTAAGCCAATCACGAACCTACCTAGAGACAAAAAGAAAATACAATAGTAATCATTTACCTCCTTGGATGAATTCCATCTTAACATTTTAACTAAAATCACCTTCAATTTTCGCCGAATTATATCTTGCCGCAAATATTATTTAGAAAATTTCGATAGCCGTGGTACCAATAAAGTGAATGCAACATAAATATTGTTTTCTATACATTCCATTAAAATCTATTTACATATCACACATAGGTGCAGTGGTGCAAAGAGGTTCGACATGGTCGGACGTTGTCGAACCTCAAACTAAAAATAAATGTACAAACACTGTCCACTCAACATTCTTAGCCTTTTGGTTTTAAAAAAAGTGACAATATGTTGAGCACTATCGACGAAACTTGTTTCTTTTTCAATATTTTTTAAAGTTTTTTTTATTGTAAATTTTCCAAGGTTCGTCAATATAAGTTAGGTATACATAGGTATGTACAGTACACATTAGTGCTTCATAAGGTACATAGGTGTATTATCGGGGTTGAGATGAGGTGTGTTATGTGTGAGAAAATGTATAAAGTAATAAACATTCTCGGGTATTATGCAACTGTATAATTGCAAATAAAAAGGAAAATATAATAAAATTAAAAAAGCACTGCCCGATTCGTTCAAGAACCGGCAGCGCGGTTAGAAAAATGTCATGCAAAAAATATAGGTAAATATTAATAAAACAAATCAATAAAATATAAATAAAAAGAAAATATTAAAAAAGAAAAGATAATTTTAACCATTGAAATTCAGCGACACATGCTAATAATCTTTCGCACTACTCTGTGCTTTTAATTTATTTATTTGTCTACACCAGTTCATTCTGTTTCTATTTTAAATTAGTTCTCATGCTGGTAACATTATAGGCCCAATTCCTTAGCTTTAATTCCTCTATAGTTTCCCAAACATGCCATAAATATTTTTTTCTCTATTTTTTATTTAAATCATGCAAAATAATCCTATTTTCTTGTTAAAGTTCTATGTTTAAATTCTTTATGTCAAACCTTTTTATTTAACTTCCAAAATATCTATGAACAAATGGCACCAAACAATGGAATAAGTTTTTAAAAATAGAATTTGAATAAATTAAAAATAATAATGTTTAGTGCCATAAGGAAAACTGGAAAGTTCACTTACTGTTGTTGGCCATAAGGTTCTCATGGAGCTTATCGCGTTGGTCTTCTAGTACCTGAAGAAAAAATTACAAAAAATAGAAAAAAAATCGATGCAAATGGTGCTGATCTGTTAATTCACATTTAAACATCTATTGCATAAAAAGTAAACTCACACATAAAAAAAAACAAACATAATTTAGAAAACATATTACTCATAGATTTTTATTATATAAAAAATCTGATAAGATCTTTGGTATTCTTTTAGTAAATGTCACAGTGACAATCAATAAGTATAAAAAAATTACTAACCTCACCGAGGTACTGCGCTACCTTCCTTGTAACACCTTCCACGAAGGTGTCGAGCTTACCCAAGTCATCGGACAGCCCCACCAACTGATCCAGTGTCCCCACCTGGAAACAACATACAACACCAATAAGATTCCAAAAAAACTATATTCGAATAAAAAAAACAAAAATAAGATGTAAAAAACACAGAATGGACGAATTCTCAAATACAAATATAAAAGTAAAAATTATAGTAACAGACAACAAGCTATTTTGAAATGTTATTCATTTTTTATATATCTTTCCAACAATATTGGACTAGTTAAAATGTTGAATGTAATAAATAGTATTGTTGGGAAATTTACATTACATTTTTGTTTCATATCCTTCTTTTTTTAATTTCTAGCTTAAGAATAGTGCCATCTATTAGAAAGATCCGTCAAAAAAAGTTTTATTGTATTGTGGGACTGTGGGCCTATGTGCCACAAGAAAAAAAAAACAATTGAATAAAACCTGCAATTGATTCAAAGTGGTGTTGATACAAATATTCTCCATAGTGTAACATACTATTGTGTGGGATAATTGCTATTGTTTTAATTCTCATATATTATGTGTCATTACTAGTATTTGTTAGATAATAGTTTTGCTGTAATATAATCCTCCATTCATTTTCTTATAAGATTGAGTTGTTGAGATTTAGTTTAAGATTTTTTTTAATGCTGTCTCTTACAAGATTTAGTAAAAAAGACTGTTTAGGAAAAATAGATAAATTATCAAAATACAGATAATAAATCCATAGTCTTCAGTATGATCTCATAGGTTCTACAGATTTTTTGTTTTGAGAAATTAGGTCATCTTGGTTTTAATCTGTTTTGTGTTATATTACATTGGTTTTAATAATTCACTGACACATGACGAGTCAGTACAAATTGTTTCAAGGACATCTGAGTTATTATTCAATAGGAATACATTACAGTAATTATTTTTTTTTGTTTTGACTTAATTCTTGATTAATTATGATTTCTAAAAGATAACTAAATAAAATGTACCTTCAGGTCAGGGATTGGAAATTTGTAGTTGGCGCTGAGATTGCCGGACTTGGTGGCATTGTTGAGGGTGTCCCAGGTCTGCTGGCACGTCTTGTCGCCCGGGGCACTGATTACCCAGTATTCAGACATCTTCACCACTGCAATTACACAAAAAATCATCAACTATCTACTCATCCTAACAATAAAACGTAAAGACTCACAGCAAAAACCCTCGCAGAGACCAATGTTACATGTTTGATCCACTTGAAAACATTTTCGTTGACCGAAAAATCGATTTTGTATTGCGACTATGCAGTGCAGAGCCCGCGGAAGCAGCCGACGGTCTGGTGTTTTTAGCCAGAACGCTGACGCAACGGGCTCGTGCACTTAATCAATATCGAGCCCGGTCCCACGGCGCCCGCTCGGCGGTCAGACATCCTGGCGCCGGGCGCGAGTTAGCCCAAGAAATTCACCCCAAACCACCCCTTACACTCCGTCACTACCGACTTTGACATCTTTCAGTCCCGCGCAAAACCATTTAACGGCAACATCTAACGAGGTATTCACTCAATTACAACACAACACTCACCTGGAACTTATAAATTAATGCTGTTTAACACTAAATATTGGAAACAGCAAATAATTTGGCGAAATCACAAGACAATTCGGGACTAGCCCTTCAACGCCATGAAAATTCACGTGACGCGGTGCTGCCACCTACAACGACTGATATTGGACAGCTGATTTACGTCAATTGTCTATGTGCAATATTATTAATGCTTTTTTCAGCTGTAATTAAATTAAAAGTAATAATAAACGATTTTATAACTATATTGTTTAAAGATCTGTTGTTGGCAGAGTTTAATTTTGTGATAGATACAATGTAAAATATGTTTTTAAGTTTATTAATTTTTAATGACAGCAAATTTTGGTAGCGTCAAAGAAAAAAATAAAAAATGTGCTTTTGTCTATGTTATATACGTTCCTTGATTATTTGACTTCTTCGACTATCATGTAAACAATTAAATTATAAAAAATGGAAAAAGAAGCTACCTATTTTCACTTGATTCAATTTATAAGTCTCGTTGATACTAAATAGGTTAAAGTCCGTCACAGACACCATTACCAAAGCGGTAAGCCGGAAAAACATTTTCCTAATACTAGCTAATTATTGCCCCTTTTAAGGTATTATAAATAATAAATAAAAAAATAAGATTATGGAGAAACATTTGATATCACAAAATAAGAATTATTTTCTTGAGTATGACGAGTATTACACGGAATAACAAAATGAAAAAACTTTCTATCTGTCAGTGACAGAACAGTCAAAGTCAAAAATTCAACAAACATATTGACAATTTGGTAAAATTCACAACAAGGTTACGAAATACAGCGATTAAAATGCGAATATACGGTTTTCTAGGAAAGAAAGTTGGAGATCTGTCTATTAAATATTCAAACTTCCCTGAGTCTTATGTTAAAAGAAGCTATGAGCAGGTATGTATCTCAAAAATATTCCTAAAAACGTACGTTTGTAAACATAACCTCAAAATAACTTTATAATCTTTGTTGTAACTTTTAGGTGTATTGGAAGAACCCTTCAAACTATCCACAATATCCAAAGGCTCAGGTAGCTCGTAAACAGTACAGGTTTACTACAAACAGGCCTTGGACGGGTCAATTCCGCTTACAAAATGACCGTAATATGCACAGGAAGAAAGTGTTCGTCGAACCCGTGGGCGAATGGAGCTTCTTCAAGTAAATACATCCATAACATACATAACTTCACGCCTGTCTCCCATGGGGGTAGGCAGAGACTAGGGAACGCTAATTACTACGATCCCTACATACCTTTTTCGTTCATAAGTTTATATTATTGTTAAAGTGATTCACTACACTTAGGAAAGGCCTTATTTCGTTCAGTGAGTATCACGGTTCCCAACTTAGGGGTTTTCCTCAGATTTAGGGGGTTAATAAGTGAAGTAGGTTTTTTTTAGGGATCATTTATTTATTTATTTATTTATGTACACACATACAATATAAAGGACAACACATACATAAAATTAAAGTACAAAGGTACCACATATTCCTATTGGAATTTCTTCCTGTGGACCTGGAGCAGGAAAAGTAATAATAATATAATGACACAGTGTGTAGTAAGAAATAGAAAATTGGGATAGGAAACAGACTTAAAACTAACAGATAAATAACCAAACAACTACATACAATACATAAATAAATACATACAAAATATAAACTATACATATAAATGAAGAAATTTACATATCAGGAGGAAAGGTAGTGTTCTCTCACTCGTTTTTTGAAGATAGCGATAGACTCAGCGTCCCGAATGTTAGGCGGGAGCGCATTCCACAGTCTCACTGCATGAACGGAAAAGGAGTAGGAATAAAAATCGGTATTATGGGGTTGGATTTTAAGATTAGATTTAAGGTGTGAACGAGATAGGACTTCAGGAGGATGAACCAAGGAGAAACGGTCCCGAAGGTAAGCAGGATAGGCAGGGTTGAAGAGGATGTTATATAGGAAGCATAAAATGCGAGTGTTCCTGCGAAGACGGATCGGAAGCCATTGAGCCTATTGCGATCATCCGATAATTTCCAACTAGTCCAATTCAAGATTGGAGTGTAGCAAAGGGTGTGTGAGGAGTTTAGGACAGAAATTTTTTCATTAAAAATGCAATGCAAAGGGTATGCAAGCGATATGAGAATTTTGATCAAAAATGAAAATTCTTATAAATTGCTGGTTTTTCATTTCTGTCGTTTACTATACCTAAAAATAAGGTGAAAATCATCTGGGCGTTTTTTATCTTGGGCTTCAGGTTCGCCTGAAAATGAGCGCTAACAGTCAGTTGGTGGAGTATGTAAAACCACTTTATGGGCACCCCGACACATTTGGTTTGGTTAGGTTAGTTCTAACCTTGCCTCGTGCCTTGTGACCCTGATAAGGCGCGAGGCGAGCGAGCAAAGCGAGCGGTGCTGCGGCAGAAGCAGCGAAGCGCTTAAAAGTGCTTTTTCCATACTTTGCCAACTGACCTTTAGAGCTCATTTTCAGGCGAACCTGAAGTCCTAGACAAAAGGTAAAATGATTTTCGCGTTATTATTACGTATACTAAGCGATGGAAATGAAAAACTAGCCATTTATAAGAATTTTCATTTTTGATGAAAATTCCCAAATCTGTTGCACAGCCTTTGCTACAGTCTGACGGGTAACACTGGTGGGTATCTTTAAGTGCGGAATTTCATTCGTAACTAGCTACTTTCGCGCGGACCCGCTCTGCTCGGCGCTTATTGATCGTAGCGTGATATTTTACAACCTTTCCTGATGGGCGTGACGACGTGCAGGAGTAGGAACGGGGTGGTTTTTAGTCAGTAAGAGTCTTACACTCCCTCCCGCCTCACCCAGGCGAAGCAGACATTTGATGATTTTCCCCCCTTAAAAAAAACCAGATAAATGGGCTAATTTTGACGGCACTTTTCGTGCGGTGGCTGGACAACCGGCTGCGCGTAACGTGTTGCGGGTTCGGTTCCCTCACAGACCAACTCTGTGTGATTCACATATTGTTGTTCCGTGTCTGGGTGTCATGTGTATGTGAACTTGTATATATATTTGTAAATGCACCCATGGCACAGGAGACAATGCTGATGTGGGGCAGGCAACATTGAAAAAAAAAATTCCAACAAACAAACTCTTCAGTAATAGTAAAAGATCTATAACAATAAAAAAATGTTTGTATGTGTTTCCAGAGGAGACCGTGTGGAGATAATGGTGGGTAAGGACAAGGGCAAGCAAGGAATTGTTCAACAAGTGATACAGGAACGGAACTGGGTGATTGTGGAGGGACTCAACACGCATCTCAGAGTTGTGAGTACAGTATTTCTTTACCATTCACGGGACCACAGGGTTCCGGTCATTTGGGAGGCAAATGAGGGGCCGAAGCCAACTGCGCAGAGGCCCTTTATACAACTTGAATCTATATGTAATGGACACACAAACCGGCGACTATCCCTGTATGCACTATGGAAATGCACCCAAGGAAAGTCCCCGGTTAGTGTCGAAATATTGTGGATAATGGAAAATAAAGGTAGGGCTGTGGATGGGTTGCTGTGGATTGATAAATTGGAGACTGTGGATGACTATGGCACCCGCCGAAACAATGTAGTTATTTGAGTACAGTATTATTATGATATTTAAAGTTTCTGTTTGTGACTAAGAACTAAAGAAAAGTAACATCAAAAATAATAATGCTTTTATAAACTACTACTACAACAGTGTATGAAAATTAAAAATCTAATTAGTCCGTCATGAAAAAATGTCCGTCATGAAAAATCCTAATGAAAAAATATTAGACACGTTTTTTTTTATTTTATCATATAAGACGAATGGTTCGAGACGTTCGAGACGTACGATGTACGAGAAGTACCTATTGTTCTTAGATAAAACGAATCAAAGTTTAGAAGTGGGAGGTAGCTTCGTCATTTTCTTTCGTAATCGTACTCAAACGTGACGTTATTATGCGATATTTCAAATCGATATATCTTCCAAACTATTCGTTTCCGTAAGAAAATAAAAAATACGTGTTTAATGTTTTTAAATAATCTACCATACGGACATTAAAATAAAATGAGTCATCTACCCTATTGCAGCATTTTTGTAAATGTAATATTGTGAAATTTTTGTGACATGCGTGTTTATATACCTATATTTTTTTTTATTCTATTTCAGGTGGGCAAAGACAAGAATTTCCCGGGCATCACAATCCAGTCGGAGGCGCCTCTGCTGGTGACCACTGATGTGAAGTTGGTGGACCCGGAGACTCTGAAGCCCACGGAGTTCCAGTGGAGGTACACTGAGGAGGGAGACAAGGTGAGTTGTTTAGTTATATAGATTGTATTAAATTTGTTGTCCTCAAGGTTGTTTTCTTTTTCTCGTTGACTGAATATTGGTATTACATTGTTCTCACATAATTGAGATAATGACAGGGTATGAAAATTAAAAATATAATTAGTAGTAAGTTAATGAAAAAATATTAGACACGTATTTTTTTTTTATTTTGTCGTATAATAAAACAGTACTTAAAAAAAAGGAATCAAAGATTAAAAGTGGGGGCTAAAACGTCATTTTTACGTATAAAATGTACATAGAAGTGACGTCACGCGGTATTTCAAATCAATATATCGTCGAAAGTATTCGTTTCTGTAAGAAAATAAAAAAATACGTGTCTAATTATTTATTTCCAGACGGACATTAACTCGTTGAGTACCGTCATTATAGACACAATAGGTGGCGGTCACCGATGACCGCGACCTATTGTTCTTTAATTGTGTCTATAAAACCAGTACTCGACGAGTTAAAATAAAAATTAGGCACCTACCCTATTGTACCAACAAAACAATGTAACCAAGAAAATTGTATTATGAACTTGATTGATAAAGAGTAACCTATGGAGTTTCTTGCTCGTTCTTCTCCATAGGAATCTACACTTTGGCACAAGCAAATAGTTTCAATAGAGGACTGACTGACAGACTGAATAATTTGTTTTGACATTCAAAAGTGCTTTCCTAGTCTAATTGAAATAATTAATTTTGATTTTGACTTTGACTTTTATGCTTTACTAGCTTTTACCCGCGGCTTCGCTCGCGTCACAAAAGAATAAAAAGTAGCCTATGTGACATATACCAATACACACAGCGCCATCTATACCAATACTTTTGTTTTTCCTCGGGAATATCAATTTATTCAGGGATAAAAAGTACCCTATTATTTAATCCGGACTTCTAACTTTACGTCTGCAAAAATTCAAAGCAATCGGTTGAGTAGTTACTGCGTGAAGGTGGAACAAACAAACAAACAAACAAACTCACTTTCAGATTTATAATATTAGTAAGGATTATTATACTATCTGATAACGAGCTGTTATTCATTCCATAGACAGTCATTTTCATTAAAAGGTATTTGGTAGTACACTACTATCTGTCTAGTAGTTAATGGATAACCGAAGGAATAATGTTCATGGTTATTATAATAGGGAATAGGGATAGATATGTTTTCAATGTTTCAAAATTACAAAAGCTGATACTCGAGCCGTATTGTCCCTTAAAGGGGGGCGCCACAAGACGCACGTGCCCATAACACCTATAGAATGGCGGCAGCGCCAAAATAAATTAGGGGCGCTTATGAGTCGCTTACCTAGGGCGCTCTCTGGGTTTCATCAATTCAAAGTTGGTGCTCCTGGTTCGCACACAGATGTGTTAATTCTGAGCTTCCTTAGAGTCAGTCAGTCTTGTGTTTTGTTGGCGGCCCGCCACCGCATTAAACAGCTGCTATTCTCCAATTTTCCTGGCGATTTGTCCATATTTGCTTTTATAAGAAACTTTTTCTTTCCTACCAATAAAAAAAAAATTATAATATAATTATGAATTTTCCAGGTACGTGTCTCCATGGCGAGCAGCAGAATCATCCCGATACCGAAGTCTTCTGAGGAGACGATGGACTTCAAGAGCAAGGAATTATACATTGAGAATGTCGATAAGGACACCACGGCTGATGCCGCTGTTAAGGTAAATAAATACATATAACATAACTTCACGCCTGTCTCCCATGGGGGTAGGCAGAGACTAAGGAACGCCAATTACTACGATTCTTACATACCTCTTTCGCTTCATTAACAGTCATCAATCTTTTCATGCATGCTCGTCAGTTAAGGGTACTTTTAATTTGTCCCTTCTTTAATATATCGCCAATCTGGTCACTATATGTCCGTCTAGGGCGCCCTCTACCGACGGCTCCATTCATATCCGCTCTGTACACTTAAGGTAAAGTAAGTATACTTAAGGTAAGGTACTTAAGGTAAATAAAATAATTTATAGTCTATGACTGAGATTAGTGCAGTGGTTAGGGGGCGTCCATAAATTACGTGAGATGTTTAAGGGGGGAGGGGGTAGACTTAAATCTCAACTAATCTTACGTTGGAGAGAGGGGGGCTCGGCACACATCACGTAACTTTTTTTTCTGATAGAAACAAAAAAAAATTCTCGTTCAGTTCATTTATTCCTGATTGTATGTACATGCTTAAGATTCAATTGTACATGAACATGGATTTTTTTTCTTTTTGCAATAACAATCCAACGCGTTTACGTGAAAAAACAACATTTTAATAAATCTAACGTGAGATTGGGGGATGGGGGAGGGTGTTGAATAAAATCTCACGAAATCTCACCAAGGGGGGAGGGAGTGACAGACTATTAAAAAAAAACACCTCACGTAATTTATGGACGCCCCCTTACACAATAATTTGCTGCTGTGGAATGTGTCGCAACTTGTAAGTTTCATTCGCGTGTAACACAGAAATTAAAGGTGTGGTGGTTCAGGAATCAACTGAACATAATTAATTAACTAATTTATAGAAAATCGTTTGATATTTTATGTGTTATACATATTATAGACACTCAATTTAAGTTATTTTTTCTCTCTTTGAGTACCGTCATTATAGACACAATTAAAGAACAATAGGTTGCGGTCACCGGTGTGCTCGCGGTGTTTGACAGTTTAAGTCATTGTGATTGCTTGTAAAACGGTATTTAGAAGAATGTACAGGTATTGTGTTGGCACTGTGAATGTATTTAAAAACAAGTAACTTTTAATTTTTCCAAAAAATTACAATCGACTTCAATGTAAAATAATAAATCTATACTATTGAAACGATTTTGATGAAACTTGCACTATTCCCTAAGTCGAATAATAGGTACCTATTACAACAAAAAAGAATAACATAAATCGCACTTGTAGTTCCGGAGATATGAGGGAACAAACATGAAACATACATACACTTATGAAATTTAGCACATTTATTCAGACGCTGACAGAGACTAACATATTTGAAAACTGAGGCCTTAGTACCATTTTGTTTTACGTTAAAAGTAATCGAAACGCCGGCGAATCTGAGTGCCAAGCACGAATAACTATCGCATTCGTAACGTAATAGTATCGAGTGCGTTCGGCGCTCTGATTGGCCGGCTCAAGTGAACCAACCAATCAGAACGCTTAACTCGCTAGATTCTGTTACGATACGAATGCGATAGTTATTCGTGCTTGACCCTCTGAGCGCCGAACGCTTACTCGTTTCGATTACTTTTAACGTAAAAAAAACGTACTAAAGCCTCTGGTCAGTTCTGAAAATATTACATACATGCAAAGTGTGGGAGAGCCATGCTTCGGCACGATTGGGCCGGCTTGACCGGAATAATATCAGAAGCTCACAGAAAACCGACGTGAAGCAACGCTTGCGTTGTGTTTCGTCGTGTGACTGAGGTTACCGGAGGCCCAATTACCCTCCCCTTCCCCAATCTTCCGAATCCCTGAATCCCCAACGATCCTCAAACTCCTAATCCCCAGAAGGCCGGTAACGCACTTGTAACGCCTCTGGTGTTCCAAGTGTCTATGGGCGACGCCGATTGCTTACCATCAGGTGATCCGTCTGCTCGTTTACCGGCTTATGCCATAAAAAAGTCGGTTAAAAATAAAACTATTTTTGACAGGTGACTTTCGCGCCAAAACTAAGGACATTTGAAATGGACATCATGGAAGAAATGGGTATCAAGGAGGATAGAGTTCCCGCCAAATCTTATTGGTATTAAATAAATGTTGTAGTGTAATAGTGACCATTGTAAATTATTAGTTTTATTACTAAACTGTGTTCTATTTAAAAATAAATTTTGTTTTAAACAGTTTTATTGTTTTTATTCGTAGTCTATATAATATCTTCCACATAGAAGTTCCAAGTGTTCAACTGTTCAGGTTGTGGACAGTCGTAGAAATATAGTAAGAAAATTTGTTGGTTCCGGAATAGTGTCACACGATGTATAATAAAAATCTAATTTAATAAAAAAATATAATAATGTACAGCAAAAAGCCAACGTCGCGTGGTGTTCCCAGGCGGTCACCCATCCAAGTACTGACCACGCCCGATGTTGCTTAACTTCGGTGGTCGGACGAGAACCGGTGTTTTCAACATGGTATGGACGTTGACAACTGTAGTTCCGAAATATTCGTTCAGTATCGTATAAAAGTAAAATTTTTTGCACTGACATGAAAAATGCACCAATTTAATTCAAGACCTTTAAGCAAGATGTATTATGATTGCGACAGTACCGAAGAGTATGATAAGTATGGGAGAATAAGACAATACCTATAGTCTTTTTTTTTTTTTTTTTTTTTTCTTTGGCAACTGAGTCTCCAATACGATGTTGTCGACTATACTGCCAGTGTCGAGTGGTGACGGCAGTTAATGCACCGTCGAACTTTAACTTTCTGGTAGTTGTTAGTAACTGGAAGAGACAAAAACAATTGGGTTAGTAAACATATACCGTCAATAGACCTAAAATTATAATATTATTACCTAACACCAGATAAATAATTAAATAGAAACAATCATAACACACAATATTTACATGAATACACACCGTTATATTTTAATACAATTTTCTTTAATAAATTTGGACAAGCACTTAATTAATTTGGGAGAAAAATTTATTAGGAGGGAGTGGAAGTTGATTGGAAGCGGGATTTGGATTTTGGGAAGGTTTCCATATAAATCGAAGGATTGGGAATTTAGAGGGCAAGAGAAAAATATGTGGTCTAGGGTTCCCTCATCGAGACCGCATTCGCACAGCGAGCTGTCACGTACACGGATCTTGGCAAGGAATACCGGACTAGTACAGTGGCCGAGTCTGAGTCTGCACAAGGACGAAATAGTTTGTCTGGGAAGCTTCTTATACTTGGAAAACCAAGGTTTCCGCCGGATGTCGGGCTGGATACTTGCAAAGTAAGCTCCTTTACGCTTGGAGGAGTCCACCCACACTGCAGCCCACGAGTCGAAAAGCTTGAGTTTTGTATCCGCGCGTATGTCATACCCATACACAATGTAGTGGTGACGTTCAACATTATTCACGGCCGCAAACTTTGCCAATCTGTCAGCACACTCGTTACCGCATATACCAGAGTGGCCAGGGATCCAGGCGATCTCGATATTTAGTCCGTCGTTTTGGCAGGAGAAAAGTAAAGATTTTATCTGAATTATCAGACTACTATGAGTCCGGGAATAAAGCTGGTCTTGACCGAGCGCTTGTAAGCTACTTAGAGAGTCTGAGAAAATAACTGAGTTTCTGAGGTTGTGCGATTCAATAAATTTAATGGACTCCAGAATGCCGACACATTCCCCAGTGAAGACAGAGGCTTCAGGGGGACACTTGGAGAGCAGAGCAATTCTTGAGTTCTGGTAATATGTTGCCACTCCTGTGCATCCGTTTCGGGTCAATTTGGATGCGTCCGTGTAAAACACATTCCAGCCGTTCCAGTAATTGCTCAGCGCGCGTTCAAAATCACCTTTAGCGTCCACTGATGTCTTTGAAATGCCCAACCCCAGAACTAGCTTTGGCCTAAAGTGAATGACCTCGTATGCGGAAGAAAAAACCGGGAGAATAGGGAATTGACTGATAGGTGCAGAGAGGTTTTTAAGCTCCCTATACCTAGCAATCACAGGTGGGACAGGTTTATTATTCCAATATGGAGAGGAGTCATAAGAACTGTGGATTTGCTCAAGGATAGGAAGGAGGGGATGAGAAGAGCGGGTAAGGACTTTAGAAACGAAACGGTCTGCCAGGTATTGTCTTCGAAGGTCAAAGGGGGTTCTGCACATTCAACCTGGAGAGCGTTTATGGGGGATGACTTCATAGCTCCAATAATTATTCTTAGGCATTTGGCCTGAATGGAATCTAGCTTTTTAAGTGCTTCCTTATTGCAAGGTGCCATAAGGAAGCAGCAATAGTCTATCACACTTCTGACCAACGCATTATATATGCTTTAATGTGTAGGGGTGAGCACCCCACCATACCCCAGCTAATGCTCTGAGTACACATACTGACCGTTCGCACCTTCTAACTACTGTTTCCACATGATCAACCCCCGACATCCTAGAATCGAGGATAACGCCCAGGAACCTAGCCTTCCTCCCAACTGGAATAGGTTGGCCGTCTATCTCTATAAGAGTGTCCGGAAGGCGCCGTCTGCGTGAAAAGATGACAGCTGAGCTTTTTGGGGCGCTTAAAGATAACCCATGATTAAGAAGCCATTGGTATAATGAGGTCAAAGAGACATTCATGGAGGCGGTAGCGTCTGTTATAGAGCAGCTAGTGACCATTAATGCGATATCGTCAGCATACTGGAGGACTTTGCAATCATAATTTAGACAAGAAGGGAGGTCGTGGGTATAGATATTATATAGGATGGGACTAAGGACTGACCCCTGAGGTAAACCCCTCCAGGCGGTTCTCTGTGTAGGGTCATCCTCAGGAGTTCTCAGTTGGAGGGTACGGTTGGAAAGGATGCAGCCTATAATTTGGCAAATCCTACTCGGGATTCTCAGCTCCTGCAATTTCTGCCTGAGAAGGGGTAGGAGGACAGAGTCATAGGCCGACGAGACGTCCAGAAAGACCGCCACCAACGACTCATTCCTGCTAAGGGCCAGTCGGATGGCTGACGTGAGGGTACCCACACTATCAGCCGTACCCAGACCTTTCCTGAAGCCGAACTGAGCCGCCGGGAACAGCCCCCGGCTTTCCATCGACCATTCCAACCGGGTCTTTATTAGGTGTTCAAGGATTTTGATAAGTATGGACGATAGGGCAATAGGTCTGTAAGACGAATGATCACCAGGATCCTTGCCAGCTTTTAACAGCGGCATGATAACCTGAACCTTCCAGATAGGAGGAATATAGCCGAAAGTAAAACAGAAATTGACTAAGTCAAGGTAGTACTGCTTGGTTTTGGCTCCTGCTTTAACCAAGAAGGAGTAAGGAAACCCATCAATGCCTGGTGCGGAATCCTTTACATGATTAAGGACCATTTGGAGCTCATCGATGGTGAAATTTTTATCGAGTGGGTCTCGTGAATCCTCATGTTGACCCGGACAACATTCATCCTCGCCAGGGACATACAGTGGAGCAATGTTGGTGAAGAAATTGTGGCTCAGACCTTCAGGCAAAATGGAAATTGAAGGAGGCTTCGAAGAATTTCTGAAGCTCTTCACTCTCCGCCACACTGCTGCCACCGGCGTGGACGGGCTTAGGGAACCACAGAATCTCTGCCACCCCTGTCTCTTCTTCTTTTTAAACAGTTTTCTTGACCTAGCCAATATCTGCTTGAAATTAAGGAGATTTTCCAGGCTCATGTCGTGGTTATATGCCTTTTCAGCCTCATTCCTGGCTCTTATCATGGCAGTACATTCACTATCCCACCAAGGAGGGGAAGGGATTTTGCCTTTTGGTGTGCTTTTCACTGGGAAGCAATCTTCAGCTGTGGAAGCTATCAACTCAGAAAACTTTGAAAAACACTCCAAAGCATTCTGGTTATCAATGGGTGGGAGAGAAGAAATGCGGAAGTCTAATAATTTTGAATACAGGTCCCAATCTGCTTTTTCTAATCGATATTTTAATAGAGGGGGGAGGGATTTATCAGGAGTGGATTTGGAAGGATTTTTGATTATGATGGGATAGTGATCGCTACCATAAGTCATATTCAAACAGCTCCAGTTCAGCATGCTTGCCATATTAGATGAGCAGAAGGTTAAGTCCACACAACTGCTTCTTTGTCCAAATGCAGATCTACGGGTCGGGCTGCCGTCATTAATATTACATAGGTTGAGCTCATCCATCATTTCAACGAACTTGCTGCCCATGTTGTCGCATAAATCCGAACCCCATCTATAATGATGACAGTTGAAGTCACCCATTACGAATAATGGACCACTTACTGACATTAATAAATTTTTAATTAAAGCCAAATGAGTAACAAGAGGGTGCGCAATATAAAACATAAAAAAATTTATATCCTCAGCCTTAACAGCGACAACATTTATGTCATCGCCGACGAAGGGTAAAGGAATCTGGGTGAAGGGTACTTTGTTGTTAACTAACAAAGCACAACCTCCATAACCATCAGATCTGTCCTGTCTGACAATGCTGAAGCACGGGATCCCGAAATTGATATTCGGTCGGAGCCATGTCTCAGCAAGTCCACAAATCGATGGTTTGAATTTATTAACTAAATGTATCAGGTCACTCTTCCTGGGAAGAGTACTCCTCACGTTCCACTGAAGAATTGTAAGTGGGTGGAATTTTATATATGTAGTCTAGGATAGTAGCTAATCTATGGGCGACGTGGTCAGGTACATTTTGATTAGGGTTAGATAACACTGCCATGAGCATGCTGGAAATTACATCTAAAATGTTAGAGCTACGAGTGTTGGTTCCGGATTCCACAGGGAAAGCGCAACCATTCTGGGATGGAGAAAAAGAGTAATCATGGATAAGGGCCTGATGGGCCTTCTTATCATAGCCGGGAGAAAGAGGAGCATGGGATTTGGGTTTGACAAAAACTGTTTTTTTGTAAGACTGTCTTTGTGGGGATGATTTTTTGTTTGGTGTTGATTGAATGTAGTTGACAGACTTGGATTTAGAAACCTCGGCATAAGATTTTTTGACCGCAGGAAACACATGGCTTGCTTCCGCATAGGAAATCGCTTTTTCAGCCATTAAGGCCTTAATACTTTTCTGGCGTCCTAACTCAGGACAGGAGCTGT